TTGTAAGAAATACTCTCTGTCTCAAAAAGAATGTTCATTTTTTCTTTTCGGATCGTCCTAAAATAATTGTCCACTTTCTTTTTTCAAATAATAAATTTTACATCTTTCCATATATGTCTTTGGAGTTTAAAATTTCTAACTTGAATATTCAAAACTTAAAAAGTAAGTTAGTAACTTTTCAGAGTGACGATACATATGGCCCACATATCCCCTTAAAAAATTTTACTCCTCAAAAAGGACATTCTTTTTTAGACCGAAGGAGTAACATGAACGTTTCATGTTGCAGTGAGTCCATAAAGAGTTGTTTGGGATCAGTGAGAAGATATTTAATTTTAGTGTCTAAGATGTCAGATATTCTTTTGAATCTAACAAAAGTGAATTTTGGTTGATGGATTATATAAATTGTGTTCAATCCTTTATAGCTTTAAGTTTGGAAAATGATGTTCGAGTATAAAATTCATCAATATTTTAACATAAACAATTATGTTATAGGAAAGAATTGAACGCTTAATAAAAGACAAAGGATAAAATTTCTAAAAGGCAATTCTGCCCTTATAATATACGTGAAAACACAATTGTCCAATTAATGTCTTCTGAAATTCCATGTCTACAGTCTGGCCCTCTCATTCCAATTGTCCATTCTCACTTCTATTCTACTACCTTGTAGAAACTCTAAGCTTGTATCCAACACAGGCTACCACTCCACCACCGTTTATGGCATCCGTCATCGACTAACAAGCTCATATCAACCACAAAAAAAGGAGCTATCTTTCTCTCTCTAAAACTCTCTAATCAATCACACCCCAAAAACATAAGAAAATAAAAATCTTCAACTCAGCCACGCCACCACACCACCAACATTGCATGCAACAATTAAATTCTTGCATCTTGAGTAACTTATTTTTGAAATTCTACTGTTTCTTTTAAACTTTCCTCAAACTTAAGACCTATTTAATCCACTGCTCCAATTTAAATATCAACCTAATCTCTTTAAGGAACTAGATATTGCAACTGGTTCAAATATTCAAATAGAATTGGTGGGTTAAGGCCCAAAGGAGAAAATGAGGTGGTGGGTTGGGGTGTTGAAGAACCATTGTAGGCCATTGGACTAAACTACATTATCTGTTGGGTAGCTTTGAATCCAAGCCCAGTCGATATCCTACTGGGGATTGTCGAATAATGATGGGTTGGATTTATTACTCTCTCTCTTCTAGGATAATAGAGATTTGTGTTCTTAACTGCCTTATCAAAACAAATTGTGAATTAGTCCAAATTTATGATCGCAATGGCACTGATAAAAGAGGTGGTCACTCAAGTGCCCTAAATATTCACACTAAGGAAGGTAAGTGAAGGTCAAAATTTTTTTACTATTATGGATGTGGAAGGTGAGGAAGTGCGACAATTTTATGAGAACCTTTATTATTTCATGAAAGACATTTTTTTTTTTTTTTTTTTTTTTATCTTCCTCTTTTGTAATTGTAAGGAGATTGTCTATAATTCTAAGAGAATATTTAGTGGCAAGGTTTTGAATTTTAGAGATTTTTTTTGGATAATTATTTGTTGTTTATGAGATTTTTGCAATTCTTCCCATCTCATAATCTCATATACAGGGCAGAGTTGGGATCTTGAGGTTGGGGGGCAAAAATTATAAGCAAAATTACCTACCTAGAACTTTTGAATATATATATATATATATATATATATATATATATATATATATTACGTAGACAAATATATTTTACTATTTATTATATTCATATAAAAAACTTTTTATAAAACTTTCTGAACAAATACAAATAAGATTTATGCCAAAAAAAAATTCAATTAAACAATTAGACTTTAATTTATAAAAAAAAAATATGAAATTCATGTAATATTTGCACAAATTAATAATCATTACACAATATATCAATAAAAAAAAAAATAAAAATAAAAATAAAAAGCAAACAAACAACAATAAATCAATTTTGACTAACTTAAATCAAAGAATGTTGGCAAGTTAAAAAATAAAAAAAAAAAAAAAAAAGTGATAAATAAATATTGTTACTTTTTTAGAAACTTATTTTAGATGCAAAACAAAACTATACTACAATATTAATATTGAAAAATGCATATATTAGATCAGGTAAGAATGTTATGTATTCTTATAAACTAAAAATTAATACAACAATATACCAAGTAAAATTTTGATAAATTCAACTTTTCAAATTTAAAAAAAAAAAAGAAAAAAAAAAAAAACTTTGAGATTAACTTGGATTGCAATGTGCATAAAAATCATCTTCATTGATGAGAAATAAGTGATTCCTTAGGTTAAATCAATACATGTGTACAATGAAATAAGGGAATTTTTTTTTTTTTTTTTTGGAAGTTACATTGAAATAAGGGATTGTGAGGATATAATAGTTCTTTGTGTGTGAAACTTGTCTCCCTACTCTCCCTTTCTGTCAGGAGAAAAAGGGCTAACAAATTCAAATGGGGAATAAGACAAAACAAAAAGGTCAAAAATGTGGATGAAAAACATTAAATGCTAGTGTGAAAATAGGTAATTTAAAACTAAAATATAAAATGCCTTTCAAAACAAAAATTCTAAAAAAATAAATTAACAAAAATAATTCTCTTTATTTACGGAAAAGAAAAAAAAAACAAAAATAACTTTTAAAAAAATGTAACAATTGAAAATTTAACAAAACAATAACTGTGATTAAAAAAAAAAAAAAACACACATACAAATTAATAAAATAAGAACTATCGATTTTTGTTGATATTCAAAACTTCAAATGAAAATTTTGTTCTAGATTTTGTAAAAATTAATTTCTTATAGAATTCTTATAAAAGCATTTCAATAAAAATAAAAATAAAAATAAATAAATAAAGTGATGGAAAGAATCATTATGAGATGAAATTTTAGAATAATAAGGTTATGGAAAGAATCGTGCTTATAGAAAGAATTGTGTTTAAGATACCCACATTATATTTTTATCGGAGTAAATTTTTTATGAGGGTTCTATAGTAGTCAATTAAATCACTTTCCTTTAGATAAACTATGAAGATATTTTATTTTATTTTTTTTTTTTTTTCTTCTTCTTCTTCTTCTTCTTCTTCTTAGGGGGCCAAGTATAGATTTTATACCATACATGCTATACTATTTTTATTTTTATCTATACCAAAAAAAAAAAAATTCAAAAAATTAGGGGGCATGGCCACCCCACTACCCCAGCCCCTCTCATATATAAGAGACAATTACCGAAGCCCTTTTTTTTTACTTCTTGTCTATATTTATACCATATTAAAAGCATAATAGAAGTTTTTTATTTTTTTTATTTTTTATTTTATTTTTTACAAGTAATAAATAAATTTAAAAATTTCCAATAAATAGAGCGACGTAGAACTCTTCCACAACATTTTTGCCCAACTGGCATTACAGAGTGTGTTAACACGTAAATGGAACATGAATAGCACACAATATGTTTTTTTTTTTCTTTTAGGGTAAGTAAAAATGAATAGCACATAATTGTAAGAAAAGAAGTCAATAATAAAGGGGGCTACAAGTACAAAGAGAGAAAAAAACTAACATGACCAAAGGAGGAGACTAAAACAAATTAGAAGTAATAATAAAACAAATAAGCAAATAGACACATTTTTAATTACTTGAACGGACTTTCTGATTTTATAGAATTTTGCTCTAAATTCAGGAAAATAGTATTATTACCTTATTAGTAATTAGTTTTGTTTATTAACTCCATTACCCCATATTATTTGAACACTGGTGATATTTGTATTATAGCAAATATTAACTTGTCTTTTATTAATTTTAATTTTAACAGGCACTTTTATGAAGGAGTTGTATCGTGTTGTGTTCTTGTCGGCTACCAACGTGTCAATAAAACTAAATAAATTTTTATTTCCCACCACTTCCAGACACTTGGCCAACACTTTTTTGACACTTAGAATGACACTTTTAAACAATTTTATACAAGTCTACCCGATAACTTTAAAAATAATATAAACACATTCTAAAGTATTTAACTATTTTTTTAAAAAAAATTGACATTGTACACATATGATCATAAACAAAATATTAAATGATATTTGTTCATTTAAAATAAAAACACTATTAAAACCAGGTGGGAGCCCGAAATTAAATTTAGGAGGGCATAATATAAAAAAAAATTCAAATAATTAATACAATAAATATAGATTCTATAAATCAAAAGACAAATAAGAAAAATTACTTAAATAATATATCAATCAATGAGTAATTTAAAAAAGATAAATAGTTAAAAAAATTAAAAGAAAAAAAATTAGAGAATTTTGAAAGGGAAAAAAATTAGAGTTTGATTCAAACAGAAATATTTGACTTTTTTTTAAAGGAAATTAAATGAATTTAAAGAATAAAAAAGAAAAGAAATACAACATTTAAGAGATAATTTTAGAAAATAAAAATTTTAGGGGATATTATATGAATTTTTTTATAAATACATGTAAAAATTTATAAATTTAATATTTGTATTATAGTAAGCAAGGCAGGACAAGGGCATGTGTCCGATTATATATTGGCTCCGCCCTGATTACAACAAAGTAGTAAAATAACTGTTAATATGGTATAAAAGTCATTACAACTTTAATATAAAAATTAAAAATAAATTAAAATTTTATAATACTATTACTTAATACATAATATATGTAAATAAATAAATATTTATATTTATATATAACCCTGTTCAAGCCTACGTGTCCTAATTTATGTAAATCGCCAAAAAGTAAAAGCAAAATTGGATGAACCTTATAGCCATCGGATCAGCCCACTTTTATATAAACAAACAAAAGCCGTTAAAACGTCCTTAACGGCAACCTAAAATAGCACGTCACTTCCTCGTTATCATCGGGTTCCAAAAATCCCAGCGACCACAAACTTGCGGTGCAGTTTATGCGTGACAGCTCATCTTTACACGTGTCTTATTTTCATTGGCCCCTTATTTGGTATCTCCCTCATCGGCACTCTTCCTCTATCGTACCCATCTCGCCAATCTCATCTATATATACTCTCTACAACCTTCATCTTCTTCACAATTGTAGTTCAATCTAAATTAATTTCTCAAAGTTGTTCATATCATCACTATTCAAGGTATTCAATCTCTTTCTGCAATTATTTTCTTCGATCTGTATTTGATTTTGATTTGCTATCTATGGATCTTGTATTTGATTTACTAATTTTATTGGGTGAATTTGGTTTTACAGATGCAGATCTTCGTCAAAACCCTAACCGGCAAGACCATAACCCTTGAGGTTGAGAGCTCAGACACGATCGACAACGTTAAGGCTAAGATCCAGGACAAGGAGGGAATTCCACCGGATCAGCAGCGTCTAATCTTCGCTGGAAAGCAGTTGGAAGACGGCCGTACCCTCGCCGACTACAACATCCAGAAGGAGTCGACGCTCCACCTTGTCCTCCGACTCCGTGGAGGAATGCAGATCTTCGTCAAAACCCTAACCGGGAAGACGATCACGCTTGAGGTCGAGAGCTCTGACACCATCGACAACGTCAAGGCCAAGATCCAGGACAAGGAGGGAATTCCTCCGGATCAGCAACGCTTGATCTTTGCCGGAAAGCAGCTCGAGGACGGCCGTACCCTCGCCGACTACAACATCCAGAAAGAATCAACGCTCCATCTCGTCCTCCGTCTTCGTGGTGGTATGCAGATATTCGTGAAGACCCTAACGGGCAAAACCATCACTCTCGAGGTGGAGAGCTCGGACACGATCGATAACGTCAAGGCAAAGATCCAGGATAAGGAGGGGATCCCACCGGACCAGCAGCGTTTGATCTTCGCGGGAAAGCAGCTGGAGGACGGCCGGACTCTGGCGGATTACAATATTCAGAAAGAGTCGACTCTTCACCTTGTGCTTAGGTTGAGGGGAGGGATGCAGATCTTCGTGAAGACTCTCACCGGCAAGACCATCACACTGGAGGTGGAGAGCTCCGACACGATTGATAACGTGAAGGCCAAGATCCAGGACAAGGAAGGCATTCCTCCGGACCAGCAGCGTCTGATCTTCGCGGGAAAACAGCTGGAAGACGGCCGAACCCTGGCCGATTACAATATCCAAAAGGAGTCAACCCTCCACCTAGTTCTCCGTCTCCGCGGTGGGATGCAGATCTTCGTGAAGACTCTCACCGGGAAGACGATAACTCTGGAGGTGGAGAGCTCAGACACCATCGATAATGTGAAGGCGAAGATTCAGGACAAGGAGGGGATTCCACCGGACCAGCAGAGGCTGATCTTCGCTGGTAAGCAGCTGGAAGACGGAAGGACTCTTGCTGATTACAATATCCAGAAGGAGTCCACCCTTCACCTTGTGTTGCGTCTCCGTGGTGGTTTCTAAGGACTTTGTGTGTCCTTGTGGTTCTGAACATGTCTATGTGTGGTTCTATTAGTCTGATGTGATGCAGTGCTTTCCCGTGTGGCCATCCCTGTTGGGGATGACGATGATCAATAAATTTGGCAAATAAAATGGAAATTCATAAACTTGTTTTCTTAATGGAATTTAGTTATGTTATTATGAACACATGAACCGGTATTATTGTGGGTCTGTTAATCTAGTGTGTTATGTGCGTGTCCCCTTGTTGGGGGATGATCAATATAATCGTGTTTGTCAACTCTACTTCATTATTTTTCTTTAATCTCACCTATTACAACAAATAGTGTGGATCATATTCTTATTTAACTAAAAATATTTTTTATTTTATTTAATTTAGTAAAAAAAATTGTCAAATCAAAAACTATAGTCACTATACCCGAAGGAAAGAATTCCTGGTAAATAAAAAGTATTAGTGATAAAATTTAAATCTTAAATAAGCGACCTTTTAGAGATAAATTTATCAAACAATTTAAAATAATTTATGGGACAAAGTTACTTGCATTCTCATTTCTCTCTTTATAACTAACAGAATTTCTGTCTCAATTTTTTTTTTAAAAAGGGACAAACATCAGTTTATTATAAGAAGGGCAAATATGAGTTCTGGAGCCACCATTGTTTTCATTGTAGATCGGGTAACTGTGGAGAATTGTTTAAGATATATAGGATGGGGAAGGTGTTTGAATTCATTAATGAATCACCCTTAATTTATAATGTTATTTTTCACACAACTTTAACTTTTTTTAACCTTAATTCTTTCTTTAATTTCTGTTTTTCTCTTTCTTTTTGTGTGTTTTTTTTTTCCAGAGGTCCTCATAAGTAAAATAATTTATTTTATATTAATAATTTTATTTTAAGCAGTCAAAAGAGATAATTTATTTCATAATGACTTTTTTTTAGTACAATTCAAAGAGATATTTTTTCAACAAATTTAACTTTTTTTTTCAATCATGTTAAAAAAGTAACTTTGTTTTTTGATAATTTTTTATAGATCATGTCAAAATAATTAATTTATTCAATAGAAATAACTTCTTTTATTTTTTGTCTCATAAAAAAGATAATTTATTAAATAGAGATAACTTTTTTTAAGCCTTTTCTTTTCGTACTTTTTTTTTTTTATTTTTAGGATCTTAACAAAAGATATAATTTATTTAATAAATATATTTTTTGTGTTTTTTTTTTTTCAATGTCAAAAGAAATAATTTTTAATGGTTATTTTTTATTTTTTTGGTCAAGTTAAAAGAGACTATTTATTCAACCAAATTTTTGTCTCATAATTTTATTTTCTTTTTGCCTTGTCAAAAGAGACCTAAAATAGAGAAAATTTGAAAAGACAATTTTATCATTTAAAAAATAATTATTATTTATTTATAAAATTAGGGTTAAAATTATCATTGTGCAAATAGATAACTAATATATATTCAATTAGATCAAATTATTTATAATTCATATCAGATATAGTATGGTAATGAATTATCGGATTATCAAAAAAAAAAAAAAAAATTCAATCTATATCTTAATAATTCATTATTAAATCTACAAGTCTCCTGCGGTTGGAGTGTTAATGTTATGAACTGAACCGTATTGGATTGATGATTGAATGAACACTACATGAAGTGCCGAAGGAAAATTTCCTTTATTGCTCCCGTTGTATTATGCCATGTTACAGGAGCTACTAAAATAAAACACATTTATTTATGTGATTGAATATAATTAGCTAATGGCACAGATAATGCATGTATAAAATTTTTTCTCATGCCGAAAATTAATGAGACGAACATGAAGCTCAAGGCTATGGGTGACAATTTGTGTTCACGGGTTATAATTGTGTCGTGTAATTTAAGGATATTTTATTAAATAGCTCAACCCGAATATAATCGGTTGAATATTCATTTAATGAACCCTCAACACTAACATTACCTGTTTATTAAATGAGTTATATGTATAACCCGTTTAATGACCTATTTATTAAAATAAAAAATTATTAATAATATCCATTAAAATAATAAATATTAAAAAAATATAAATTTCAATTTAATCAAATTACTATAAGTTTACAAATGAATAAATTATAGGGCAAATTTCTCAAAACCCCCAAAACTATCAATAAGTGATCATAAAACCCCAACCTGTTTCTAAAAATCTTAACACTATTATAAAGTTATCACATTGTCTCAATATTCGAGTCCGACCCGTTAACCAGGCTGTGAAATGATAAATTTAACCTTATCATTTAATGTTAAATTAAAAATATAAAATTATTATTTTTAAAATTACAAAAATACCCTCTCCTTTTTTCTTTTTCTTTTTCTTTTTTCTTTTTTTTCTTTTTTGTTTCTTCTCATCATCATCTCCGGCAGCAAGAATATTGCCGGCGATGAAGCTAATCGCCGCCGGCAGCAACCAAACCAGGTCGCTGTCGGCTTCTTCTCATTCTAGCGAGGTCGCTGGACTGGTCGCTGCTTACCATTGCTTATTTCTCATCAGCGGCCCAAGGTTGTGCCCTTCTTCTACCGATCAACTATTTTGCCAGAGTGCGACCTGGTGAGCACCATGGATGACGACCAGAAGCTTTTCAAATTTGAGAGAAGAATGATTCACCAATGAAAAGTGTATGCATCAACGTCATGAAGATTTGACGATGAAGCCATTGAAGCGCCGAATCTCGAAGTCACAAATATTAAGGAACCATAGAGAGATATGGAGAAGAGCGAGTAAAAATACTACACGACAACTCACCCACCTTTCTCTTCTTCCACTACCTTATCGTCTTCATCTTTCTTTTCAGGGAACCTAATTTTAATGAGAGAGAAACTTTATGCTCTTCGTAAAAAAAAAAAAAAAAAAAAAAAAAAAGGCCCATTAGACTTGAATTTCAGAACATTCAATCACACGCAAGATTTGACCATTCCTCCATCTCAAGCCCAATCTTCCTCCTCTGTTTCTCACTCCAACATACCCATTCTCTCTCTAGAATATCAGGGAACCCAATTCTTTCAATTAAAGGCTCAGAAGTTACAACCGCAACATAGGTAGAAGAAACAGAGTGTTGAAACAAGAACAATGGCTTTAAACACAGACACGATCATGAAGAGAGAGTCATTGATGAACCCAATCTGAAAAGTCAGCCTCTTCCACTGAAACCCAGAACTCCTGAACCTCCATGTCCATGAACTCTTCTTCCCCAATTTCTTGAAGCTGAACCACGGCTTCTTCTCCATCTCTCTCTCTCTTTACTTTTTCTCTCTCCATATTTTGTGTTGGTGCAAATGTATGACACGCAGTTTGGTTTATTATATACAATATTGGAGCTATCTTTGCTTTGATTTCTTCATTGATACCTGGTTTGGTAGCTGCCGGCGGCGATTTGCTTCATCGCCGGCAATATTCTTGCTGCCGGAGATGATGATGAGAAGAAACAAAAAAGAAAAAAGAAAAAGAAAAAGAAAAAGAATAGGAGAGGGTATTTTTATAATTTAAAAAATAATAATTTTTTATTTTTAATTTAACATTAAATGATAAGGTTAAATTTGTCATTTCACAGCTCGATTAACGGGTCGAACTCGGATATTGAGGCAATGTGATAACTTTATAATAATATTGGGATTTTTAGAAACAAATTGGGGTTTTATGATCATTTATTGATAATTTTGGGAATTTTGAGAAATTTGTCCTACATTATAAAACAAAAATTTAGATAGTTATTTAAGAATTTAAATATAAATTTATTTATTACATATATAATTAAATAGATTATACAAGTTGAACCACCTCAACTTAAATATAATATAATTAACTAAATGAATTAATCAACGTCCATCTATTTGTGACCTAAATTCATTTAAGATGAATTTAAATTCGTTTAACTTATATCGCTTATATCGTCTTGGAGTGGTATTCATGGGTGGTTTCAAACTTTGCCACGAGTATCAGTGGTGAACAAGAATACATGTGTTGTTTTATGTATGTGTGGAAGTCAAAAATATATGTGGTGAACAGCTGAACAACTATACACATGTAACACATGAAATCTTGTTTTTCTTTGGAATTTTTTAATTATTTAACCAAAACGAAAAGGAATAAAAAGGATTTTTTTTTTTTTTTTTATCCCATATTTGACCCATTCGGTTTGTTTGCCGTCTAACGGGATACTACCAATCTAATGGGATTGGTAGCAGGTGCAACTTGCCGTATAGTTTATGTATGATAGCTCATCTTTACACGCGTCTTACTTTCATTGGCCCCGTATTTGGTATGTCCGTCATTCGACTCTTCCTTTATCGTAACCAACTTGGCTATCTCATCTATATATACACCCTACAAACTTCATCATCTTCACAATTGCGATTCAGTCTAAACTAGTTTTTAAAAGTTGTTCATACCATCGATCTTCAAGGTATTCAATCTTTTTTTGTTAATGTTTTTCTTCAATTTCTATTGATATAATTGATGTATAGATCTGATCATCTGATAGGCAAAGTTTCTAATTTTGTTGGGTGAATTTGGTTTTACAGATGCAGATCTTCGTCAAAACCCTAACAGGCAAGACCATAACTCTAGAGGTTGAGAGCTCAGATACGATCGACAACGTTAAGGCTAAGATCCAGGACAAGGAAGGAATCCCACCGGATCAGCAACGTCTGATCTTCGCCGGAAAGCAGCTGGAGGACGGCCGTACGCTCGCCGACTACAACATCCAGAAGGAGTCAACGCTCCACCTCGTCCTCCGTCTTCGCGGCGGTATGCAGATCTTCGTCAAAACCCTAACCGGGAAGACGATCACCCTCGAGGTCGAGAGCTCCGACACGATCGATAACGTGAAGGCAAAGATCCAGGACAAGGAAGGAATTCCACCAGATCAGCAACGTTTGATCTTCGCCGGAAAGCAGCTGGAGGACGGCCGAACCCTCGCCGACTACAACATCCAGAAGGAGTCAACGCTCCACCTTGTCCTCCGTCTTCGTGGCGGTATGCAGATCTTCGTGAAAACTCTCACCGGCAAGACCATCACACTGGAGGTGGAGAGCTCTGACACGATTGATAACGTGAAGGCCAAGATCCAGGACAAGGAAGGGATTCCACCGGACCAGCAGCGTCTGATCTTCGCCGGAAAACAGCTGGAGGACGGCCGAACCCTGGCCGACTACAACATCCAGAAGGAGTCAACGCTCCACCTTGTCCTCCGTCTTCGTGGCGGTATGCAGATCTTCGTGAAGACTCTCACCGGCAAGACCATCACACTGGAGGTGGAGAGCTCTGACACGATTGATAATGTGAAGGCGAAGATTCAGGACAAGGAAGGGATTCCACCGGACCAGCAGAGGTTGATCTTCGCTGGTAAGCAGTTGGAGGACGGAAGGACTCTTGCTGATTACAATATCCAGAAGGAGTCCACCCTTCATCTTGTGTTGCGTCTGCGTGGTGGTTTCTAAGGACTTTGTGGGTCCTTGTGTTGCGTTTCCAAGTGGTTCTCTGTTTCTGTAATCTGGTGACTGATGTGAAAGTCTCTGTTCGGTTTGGAATTATAAATAAAATTGGGGTTAGCAAATAAAATTGGAATTTTAGTAATTTTGCTTCATATTTTTGATTCGCTGATTAGATAGCAAAAATTTATAGCTCTTGTGGAACAGCTTTAAGTTATTTCATTTTTTGGCTAAATGTCTGTGTAATGAATGGCGCATGCATAGTTCCATTGGTCAATTCATGGTTTTGGTAGTACAATGGAAGTATCAAGGGGGAATTTTTCTACATATTATTTTTAACTCTTTTCCTAATTAGTTAGTTTTCTTGTATTACGTAGCTGCAAGTAAATTTTTTGCAAAAGTTTTGGTAAATTTTGGTGACTAATAAATAGAAGATCGGTGTTTGTATTTTTTATTTTATTTTAACAAATCCTCTTGTGAAGTAATCATATCCCATTGTTGCGAATAAGAACTATATACATTTTTTTAATCCCATTATCATGAATGATATGTAGTAGGTGGTAATATCTTTGTTATACACATTATTATTCTGTACTAATTTTTTTTTTTTTTTTTAAATGTTACTCTGATTTTTCTTATTCCACCACGTCTTGCCAAAAAATCAGTAAAGGAGGCGCGATTGTGTTTACTGCTCAATTGAAATGTGTGAAAGAAAAAGTTTGTTGGCAACTGAAAGGGCATTTTGTGGTTGTCATATTTTACTTTTTTATTATTATTTATTTATTTATTTGGGTAAATTGCATTAACATTCTCTTTTTATAGCATCTCCAACTGTTGTGTATATATATATATATATATATATATATATATATATATATATATATATTTTTTGTAAATATGATGTGTCATGATGAATTTACACAAAAATTTTAAATTCAACAAGAGGAAATATGTTGATCTGGCACGGAAAAAAATTATATATTATAGATGGCAGTGTATATTTTACACAAAAAGTTATTTTAATAGACTGCATCTTCTCGAATATTATATTTGTACTTGCTTATTTAATTCTTTTAACTTTTTTTTTTTTTATTCATTTTAGTACCTAGTATATTTTACACAAAATGTTATTTTAACGGACTGCATCTTCTCAAATGTTATATTTGTATTATTTAATTCTTTAACTTTTTTTTTGGATTTATTGACAGGGGAGCCTTTTTATTTTTTTATTTTTATATTTTTTCCCTAGTGGTTGTTGTGGCGGTTCTGGTGACGTCTACATTATTTTTATTTTTAATTTTTTATTTCATTGTGGTGGTGGTGGTTCTGGTAACGGGTGGATGTGTTGGTGGTGTTGTCTTAGTGTGGTGGTGATTTTAGTGGTATTTGGGACTAATAAGTATATGTTAACCATTATTGTTTTTATTTTTTTATTTTTTACTGTGGTGGTGGTTCTGGTGGTGTACAGGTTATCTGGCTATTTCAAAAATAATTTTATTTATTTTTTTATTTTTATGTTGTGGCTATGGTGGTATAAGTATTTTTATTTATAATCTATATCTATATATATAGAAAAGATAAAGATGATAGTTTGGTCCATTAAGTTTTGTTAAGGGTTAAATTTATAATTTTATGATTTAAATGGAGTTCTTGACAAGTTAAATGATTAAAAGATAATTTTACATGGTTTCATATGTGAAGGGGGTGTCAATATAAAAAAAAAATTATTAGCAAGACGTTGACCAAAACCTTGTACGGGTGTCCATACATTTTAACCTTTTTTTATTATTATTATTTTTTTATTTTAAAAAAAGGAAAGGTTAAGCAAGTATAGGAATCCAAAAACTGGAAGACAAGCCCATTTAAGAGTTCAACCCAATACATAAACAGGTTCATACTTTTGCTTGCAAACAAATTTTAGCGTATTGTTCGTGGCGGGAGAAGAGCCTGTATGTATACATTCACGACAATTGGATATATTACTTGAGACATTGCCATCTATACACTGATTTATTTCTCTGCATTTAATAACTATAATAATGATATTTATCATCCTTCTTCTTTATTTTCTTGTAAAGAAAATGTCATACAATTTGATATTAACCGCCTTTCCCTCCAATCACATTGAATTGAATTTTTTTTGTTAATGACTTTAGTTTTTGCAAAATAATTTTATTTGATGCTTACTTATGGGTGAATGAGTCATTAATTTATTAAATAAAGGATTCCTCAATTTTACGCAACTAACTTGAATGGTGCATGTGTTATGGGGTGATTTTGATGTATGTGTTATGAGGCGACCGATACACATGTTCTAAGGAATAAAAAAAAAAATCTGCACAGTTACCGTCAATTAATGATACACATGTTCTTAAAAAAAAAAAAAAAAAAAAATAGAAAAAAAAAGAAGAAGAAGAAGAAGAAACCTCCACATAGTCACCAATCTAAACATCTAAGAAGAAGACCACAAAAATATCAACATTCATTAATTGATCTCCACATAAGACAACTCTGATATCAATAAAGAAGATGTTAATGGAGAGGTTCGACATAGGGTTAATAATTTCAAAGGTAGTGGTGAGACATGCTTTTGTCTTCAAAACTTTTTTGGTATATCACACTATTGTTGGTATCATATGATCTTAGTTAAAATCTCATTCCTTTCTTTTGTGTGCGCGCGACACACAAGCGGAAGATTAAAAAAAAAAAAAAATTTGACTGTCGATGGGTATCCATGAACAAAAAAAAAATGATGTCAATATATTGGGTGATCACTATTGTGATTTCTTTGGAAATTCAAGCTCATGTTCTTAAGGTGGGTGGAGAGGAGAATTTATACATAGAGAGACCAGAGGGGGAGATTCATCTATATTTAGATGATTTCTAACGACCGTAAAAAAATGGGATCTGATTCATTTTTAGATTTAAGATATGGGTTGATTTTTCATTAGATCATAATCAGTATTTAGATGATTTCTACCCCGTTATCCCGTAAAAAAAGGTTTTGACTCATTTTTATATTTAAGACATTTGTTGATTTTTCATTAGGCCACCTCACGTTTGGAACTTCCTTCTTTTATGATGACCTTTTTTTCTTTTTATTTAGTAAAATGAAAGTTAAAGAGACAAATGTGTCTTATTTATTTGTCTTAAAAAAAAATTGTTTTAATTCTGTTGAACATTTTTTTGTTTGTTTTATTATTATTTTTATTATTATTATTATTTTATTAGTAATACTAGTACACCATTATTTACCTAAGCGTAATTTCCGAGCAGCGCACACATTGGATTATAAAACCAACTGCGCGGTAAAGAGAAGTTTTCCACAATATAATAATAAGTCGGGGGCATTGGGGCGATCATCCACATCCTCCCAACGCTTTCCTCCGTCTTCCTCAACCGGCGCGATTATCCAATCCTTCCTCCTCATCAGGTACTGTAAAAAATTAAACACACACAAAATTCTATACACACACACACTCATACATACACACGCACGCACGCACAAACAATTGATTTTTTTTAATCTTTATAATATCATTTCATTAGGGTTTTGGAGTTGTGATCTGATCGTCATCTATATCACTTACACCTCTGTATTGAAATTGTTCGAATCTCTCTCTCTTTCCTGGGTTCTTATTGAAGTTGCTTTCTTTTTGGTGGGTTTATTCTTAATCGTGGAAATTTTTTTGTTGTGTTTCTTGTTGTTACTTTAGTATTTTTGTCTGATTTCGATAATTGATTTGTTCTTATTGTTGAGGATTGTGAATTTATGGGGATATCTATCCCTTTCTTTGGACAAATCATTGCTATTTTGAAATCGATTAATTTTTTCCCCCAATGTTCATATCTCTGCAAATCAGAATCAAATCTCTCTCTACCCCCACTGTCTATCTAGTTTGTTGTACGGTATATTCATTGACTCGTAATTTTGATTCTCCTCGTACGTGAAGTTTCTGTATTTTGGTTTGCCTTTGTTACCAAAATGGTGCCTTGTTCAAATCAGTGCTGCATTGATCATGGGGTTATCAAAATTGATGAGTTTTGCTTTCATTGTTTTCTTGTCTGCGAATCATAATTTAGATGTTTTTGGTGATGAAATTTAGATCATCCTCGCACTGTTACATTTATCTCATCTTCTATAGATGTTGCATCTACCTCTTGGTTCGTGCTACCTTTGCGTTTCCTATGTATTTTTATTTATTCCTTAACCCAACTAATGTTGTAGAGTTAGAAATGAACACTGTCCTTAAGTTTTACATTCATTAGCTGCCATATAGTCTGTACACTAATAAATGGACTACTTAAACTCCCGTTCTTATAATCAATTGGATTCTTCGGTTAGATCGGGAAACACCAAATATTATATTTATTTATTTGTTTTGTAAAATTGGCAATTAAACAAATTTCCATACTTTTATAATTTTTTTTTTTTTGTTTGAAAAAGATATCAAAAAAGTGAATCAAGCAGAGATTGTAAGAGAATATGTAGTAGTCTTTTGATAGTGGTGGAAGGTCAAAGATATATTTCAATGGAGCCATCCAGTTAAATAGAGAAATCTTTTGATTTCACCTTTAGAAAGAAGAAGTGTTTTTAAAAATTATAAAGAAAAAGAATTTAGTCATCAACATTTAAACTAAAAACTCACATATAAAAATGCAAATTTTTATTTTTTATTTATTTATTTTTGTTTAGCAATACCTTTGTTTTTTAGTCTTGTGTTTCCTTTTTTGGCCTTTTTCTTCTCTAACATCTCTCTAGTCAAAAAAAATTAGTCAGCAAATAGTTTTTTATTTTATTACCATGTAATCCAGTGGTATCCACTTTGGGAGGTTAAATGATAAAATGGAAGTTAAAATCAAGTATTCATAGACAAAATGTTGTGTAAATTATTTGTCAAGAAAAAAAATTAATTGTAAAAATAATTTTTGAGAAATGACGATGTGTCAATGACGTGTTTTGAATTCTCTTGGTCGATTTCTTAGTCCATCAAATTGGATTAATTAACCACCAAGGCCTGTGGTCTAGTGGTATTTCCTCTCATTTCAATTTGAAAGGCAGAGGGTTCGAGTTTCCCCAAGTGCATTGTGGGAGTTAATTGCGAGGACAAAAAAAAAGTTAGCTTTTTTTAGTGTAGAACAAACAGATAGTATGGTATTATTTACTCAACGTGTAATTTCCTGGTGGTAAACAATAAACATGTTGGATTATTAAACCTGGGGCTTAAGTAAATGTAACTGTGTGGTCAAGAGGAGTTTTCCACAATATAATAATAAGTTGGGACTTGGGGGCTTTGGGGCGATCATCAACTCCCATCCCAACCCCTACCTCAACCAGTTCGATTCTCCGATCCTTCATCTTGTTCAGGTAATGTAGAGGAAAATACACACACATATATATTTACACGCACTAACAATTGTTTATTCTCTTTATCATAGCATATTCATTCTGTTGATGGAGTTGTGATCTGATCGTCATCTCTATCAGTTACACCTCTGTAGTGAAATTGTTCTAATCTCTCTCTTTCTTGGGATTTTATTGAAGTTACTTTTATTTTGGCTGGTTTATTCTTAATTGTGGAAAATTCTTGTGTTTCTTGTTGTTACTTCAGTATTTTGGTCTGATTTCAGTAATTGATTTGTTGTTTTTTTTTAATTATTTTTTTTATGGGGATATATCTCTTTTTCTTTGGACAAATCATTGTTATTATGAGCTCAGTTAATTTTTTCCCCTATGGTCAAATCTCTGCAAATTAGAATATAATCTATCTCTCTCTCTATCCATCTATAACGAGTTGTATTGTATATTCATTGGCTCGTAATTTCACATCTTATCGTATGCGAAATTTCTGTATTTTAGTTTGCCTTTGTTATCAGAATGGTGCCTTTTTCAGTCAGTTCTTTATTGACGAGGTTATCGAATTCATGAGTTTGCTTTCATTGTTTTCTTGTATGCACTTCAAAAGTTTAATGTGTTTGTTGATGAAATTTAGATCATCCTCTGGCTGTTACATTTACCTCATCTTTGATGGATGTTGCATCTAGCTCTTGATTTGCACTACCATTGGTTTTCCTATGTTTATTTATTTAGTCCTTAAGCCAACTAATGTTGTAGAGTCAGAAATGAACACTGTCCTTGAGCCAATTAATTTTTCAAATACTAAGACTCGCATTAGGTTATCAGACATAACATAACTGAACGCCTTGGTTTTGGGATTCTATCTTCAATTGAATCTTATAGAGACAAAAGGAACTAGAGAAAGCCCTTCTTCTGAGAATTTTTGAAGCAATCAAGTTGCATCTAACCCATTATTTGGGGATGACCGGGGACTCTACCTGCTCTCGATGAACTACTTGGGCTCTTCCAAGGCGTTAGTTATGGAGGAGTGGAGGACACCTCAAAGGTGGAAAGAGAACCAAACACATTTGATGATGAAACTTTTCCTACTTTAATAGCACTGATTGCATACTTGACTTGTGCTGGTCAAATGTATAATATAATGTCATTTTGTTGAGAAAAGTAAAATTGGACACTTCGGGACGTGTTCATCTTGAAACCAAGAGCTCAGATATGAATCTTATTAAAATGTTTTTGTGCTACATGTCATGTGTTTGGGAGTCTTTGAGATAGGTAGGGCAAGTGCCTGAAATGATGATATTAATTTTTAAATTATGAACATGCATGTGCACATGGTTTTTGAGAATAATTCGATTAAAAATAAGAATGTTCTTTTGGTAGCTATGTCACCATTTTTAACTTGTATGGATGCATGGGGAAGGCTTATCCATCGGACATTTGTTAGTATCAAGATCATTCAAATTTTAGGAAAGTTTATGCTGTGGTTCCATCATGACGAGTTCTTTCTCTGCTCATACCCATAATTGATATTATATGTTGTGGTTTTAGACTTGTTGACTTGGGTTGTAGATTTTATATTCTAAGTATAAACCCTTGCTATTGGTAAAGCTGATGAGATTTTCAACTTGTTATTCAGCTGTGACCATTTGTGTTCAGAAGCAAAGAGAATACTTGTCTGTTAGTTTGGTCCCCCCAAATCTAGCAGGCGAGGTACATGTCTGAACTCGACATCCAGATCCCTACTGCCTTTGGTAAGTATGTTTTATTCATTTTTCAGTCAAGTTTTGTGTTTTAGGCCTGTATATTAAGCCTGTCTGTGAGGCCAAATTATATCCCTTGTTTTATCCCTTGCAAAGTTGGTTCTTAATATCAAAGGTGTTTGATTTTGCTCTATGATGACTGTAGCAGTACTTTAGCACTCAACTATGATACTGTTATGTCTATGATGCAGGCATAGACATGCTGACATGAAACGTCTTTGAAGATTAGGACATAGACTTGACGACAAAATAACATGAAATATATAACATCTGAGTCCTAATAGTTAGAAGTCATCCGTCCATGAAAAAAAAAAAAAGATAGTGAGAGTTCTGCATGTATTTGTATGCATCTGTATATGTATGTTTGCAGATGTGTGTATATGCATGTACTTATGTGATTATGACAACTCCCTTCTCTATGCCATCCCACTTCTTTAGTTTATACATCCCCTTTTACTTTTAAAGCATAGTACATCTGTAATTAGGACAACTACAATCTCTATGCCCACTACCTTCTTTCATAAAAAAACCCTTTCATTTTTAAAGCGTGGTACTTATCAAGGTGGTTAAAATCGGGATTCTATGTAGAATCGTTTTGGGTTTCGTAGAACCGGAATCGTAGAATGTAAGATTCTACCAACTTGTAAAAAAAAAATTCAAAATAATTTCTAAACTAATACTGTGATTAAAATATATCAAGAATAAGGCTAAAACACTTCTAGTTATTCAAGCAATAATTCTAGTTATGCAATTGCAATACCGACATAAACAGAACAGAAAATAACACAAAACAGAAATCCCTAAATTGTGTGGCTGCCAATTAATTTTGATAAAGTGGTTAATGGAACAGCAAAATTTGTTTATAATTTTCATGCACTGGGAGCGTGACAATGGCAAGACAATTGAACAATAATGTGCAAAAATTGTTTCACCAGTATTCGCAACAATGGTGTGAACAACCAACGGGCCAATGGCCTAGCGGTATCAGCCTCTTACCTCCCAAAGGGAAGTCAGGAGTTCAAGTCTCAGAAGAGATAAGTGTGTGTGAGTACCAACTAGGAAAAAAAACAATGGTGTGAACAAATTAATCCAAAAATAATTCAATAATAAAGCACAAAATTTTGAGTCAAATTATTTACGAAGTTCAAGGACTTCAACTTCGGCAAATCATAAGTATATGTGTACTTAATTATTAGACTCCGTTTTCAACGTAAAATATTTTTTTTGGAAAATATATATATTTTTTCAGGTAATATATATATATATATATATATATATATATATATATATATATATATATTTTTTTTTGTTTGGCAAAGGTCTACGTCGAGGTTGAGGTCGAGTCCATCGGGTGGGGCATGTAAAATAACTTGTTGAAAATTAATGGATAAGTTTTTTTGTTAAATTTTAATATTTTTTTTCTTCGTAAATATTTTACGACAACCAGACACTAGAAAATAAAAAATTATTTTTTAAAAAATATTTTACGTCCAAACAAACGGAGCCTTAATCACAAATCTTTTTGCAAAGACCTCCCTTCCGACGATGTTGTCATACTTTTTCTTCATGTCTCCTGATCAGACATCTATGCAATTACCGGGAAAAAAAAGTTGCATCAAAGCAAATAGGCACCTCATATCTGTCACATTCAGTTTGCACAGAAGTTAGAATAAAAGCAGGAAAAAAAACAAAAAAAAAAAACCACACCTTGAGTTTGTAACTTTGTTGTTGCGCATCAAAGGGAAGAGGCTGCTCGTCAGAGTCTCAGAGAGAAGAGGCTGTCTGATTTCATGATTTAGGACCTTGAGTTTGTAACTTTGTTGCTCATCAAAGGGAAGAGGATGCTCGTCAGAGAGAAGTGGCTGTCTAATTGCACGATTTAGGGCTTCTTTGTGCATTTTTTTTCAGCTTTATATTTTACTGTATTCTTTGTGTTTGGGCCTAAAAATGGTTGGGCTTTCTTATTAAAAAGAGCCCAATCTTTGAATAAAGCTCAAACAAGGTGTACTAGCCCAAGAGAAGGCCCAGGCAAGGGGTTAGAAAAGAATCGGTCAGAATCTGTAAAATCGCAAGATTCTACGATTTCATGAACGATTCTACAGCGATTATGCTCCAGGAACGATTTTTGTGCGATTCCAATCGTTTTGGGTACCTAGGATCGTAGAATCGTGCGATTCTACGGCCTAGAATCGAGATTTTAATAATCATGGTACTTTTGTAGTATGACTACTACTTTATGCCCATCATTTGACTGCGGCACTGTGCATTGGTAACATGTTGGCAAGTGTTCTTTAAGTTCTGGCAGCATATCCAAAATTAAGATTTTTAGACATGTGGCCGAGAAAGGCGGTTTCTGATACACACACGACATGCTGTATAAGCTTCCATACTATTTAGGGAATTTAGATTCAGACACAAATGCAGCAGAATTTGTAGCTTTCCTTGGTAAAGAATATTTTCTGGTGCATGGGTACTTAGCTTAAGTAACATTAAAAGGATGGGCTACAGATATTGCATCAATGGCAAAATACACTGAGAGAATCTATTATTACCTTTTTCTTTTTCTTTTTCTTTGTATTCCCTGGATGTGCAATCTAATTGGAGTAATGATGTGCTGTTTATTGTGTGGACAGACCCATTTGCTGAGGCAAATGCTGAGGACTCTGGTGCGGGGTCAAAGGAGTATGTGCATATCCGCACACAGCAGCGTAATGGTAGGAAAAGCCTGACCACTGTCCAGGGGTTGAAGAAGGAATTCAGCTACAATAAGATACTTAAGGACCTTAAGAAGGAGTTTTGCTGCAATGGTACTGTTGTCCAAGACCCAGAGCTGGGCCAGGTGAGCATGTGATACTATATTAGATGTCATTAATGCAAGCTGTCCTTTCTCTTGCTATTAATTTTGGGGATCACATCTAATTTTTATTAAAATCATAAAATGGACTTAGGTTATCCAACTTCAAGGTGATCAGCGGAAGAATGTCTCGACCTTCCTTGTTCAGGTAACTTTCTTAATGCCATTGAAGGCCGTCACTTAAGTTTTATGAGGTGCTGGGAGGGGTGGACTAGATGTGAAACTAACATTTTGCAGTACTCAACATGCATGCATTAAGCAATGACCCCACTGCAAATTGATTCTCAGTTATACATAAGTTCTTGTGATTCCTAAGATTATGCATTCCTTTTGTTCATCTTAACAGGCTGGTATTGTGAAGAAGGAACACATCAAGATTCATGGTTTTTAAATAGCAGCAGTGGCTGTATGTTTTGCGACTTTAATGACACGAATTATATGGGCTATAGAATAAGGCCCTGTTGCATGTATTCCCCATCTTTGTTAAACTTTCTCAATCTTATGTTCAACATGTTTCTGTTTTGATGTTTTCTATTGTTCAGTTATATTCTATGTTTGGTGTTCGATTTTCATCTTTACCCGGAGTAAATTGTTAGATGGCATGAATGGAATATATTTCAATGTTTTTACCATCACATCCTATATTTTTGTTTTTAGCAAACTTGCATGAGTTCCTGCAAATTTGGCTTCTTCATTGATATCAGCAATGCATGCATTGCTTTTTGAGAAGCAACATACACATTTTAGACTAGAGAGTAAATGTGTGGATACTGACTTGATGAGGTCAAATCAGCTGAGACGGTACCTATTTTCATCACAAGGAACATCTTTGTTTTGGTAGTTTGCATACATGATGAGATGAAATCAGATAGATGGCACATGTTGTGTTGCATAGACACTGAACTTCTGTGTTTGATAGCTCTAGATGGCGGATACTGGGAGTAAAAGGTGGGATGAGGGTGGGCCTTGGAGCAATGATAAGGTTGATGTATCGTGACCTGGACGTCACGGTTTGAAACCAAAAGTAGTTTCTCCACGTGGGATGTAAGACTGCCTACATCTGACCTTCTCTAAATCTCGCAATGACGATATTATTTGCACAAAGTGGTGGTTTAAGTTCGTATTTGCAGCTCAAGTTTAGTCGGCGTGTTAATAACAGTGGAATGTGATTCGCATGAGTTGATTGACTCAACTTGATGCTCTTTGAAAGCAATTGATGTACATGATGTTTGTGACACTGACTGCTTTCTGGCCAATAATTGAGACCTGAAGGTTGATTGGTTGGTTTAGCCAATAGTATTCGAATGTGACACTGCAAGGGCTGTTTGGATGTAGGTCCATGTACTAGCCACAAGTGGGTTGGTGTTGTCACCATCTTTCTCTTTCATTTATTTTGCTTGCCGGGGGAATTTGCTGTCCAGTTATGGTAAGATGCTCAGAGTCTTGTTTGGATATCAATTGATAAAATTAAATGTAACTATAAAAATAATTTTTTGTTGTTAGAAAATTGAAAATAAAAATTTGTACAAACAATTCTGTTTGGTTCAGTTTTTTAAAAATTCAATTATAAAAATATATGATTTTAGATAATAGTCTTTTATAATTCTCATAAAATTGTTTTTTATTTTTTGAGTTTTTAATAACTGTTTTCGGAGTTATAAATCAAGAATGCTTAAAATTTTTTACAAGTTTTCCACATCTCTGATGTCCATTCGTCATTGCTGGGCAAAAATAACACTAATATATATATATATATTACAGGGTATTTGACATCTTTTTGTCTTAACGTGGACCCAACCGAATTCGGGTATAAATACACATGAAATATATTGGATTTTGTTTGAGATTTGATTGGATCCAAGTTTTATTCTACTAAACTAGGATTTAAGTAGATTAAAAATAATTGAATTAGACCCAGCTAGAATTCGAATTCGAATTCAGATACGAATCCTGACATAAAGATATGAATTGATGAGCCTTCGGAGCACATGAACCTGTCACAATCTTATTCATCCAGTCCCGAATAGATTAATGAAACTGGTCCCTAAGTTGAATCTGTTTTTCTATTTATTATGTCAACATAATACACTCCTTAAGTGAAGGTTCGAACTAGAAACATATGTGTATGTGTGTGCCACACACTAGCTAGTTATACTACTAATAAAAATTCTTTGTTGGACTGTATTTGGTGTATCAAGTCTCGTCTCATTTTTTTATGTCCCTTTTTATTTATTTTTTTATCAGACGATGCTTTTTCTGAAATTATTTATATTATATATATATATATATATATATATTATTTTACCTAACGCCCCCCTAAATTTACTTTTTTAAAAAAAATAAAAAATTTAATTTCTCCAATTCTTTCTTTATTTCCCTTCGTACTCTATATCTTCTCCAATTTTCTTTTAATTCTTTCCAAATAAATTTGCCTCCCTTTCTTCAATTAAACCCTAATTTTTTCCTCTTCATAGTTCTCTCTAATATATATATATTATTATTATTTTTTTATCTCAAAATTTTCTTCTTCTTGCACTCATATATATTACCTTGCTTAGTTAGAATAAGTTATTTATTTATTATTTATTTATGTCTTTCTTGAATCAAACTCCTTTTTAGAGCGAGCAAATCATAATTCATCGGCAATTACCAAAAAATTAAAAATAAAAATCTGAAAATAACAACAAGATTCAAAATATTTTCTTAGAATGGTTACCTAGAAAACCGGCGTGGGGTTAGTGACCTAACGATATTAGACTGTTATTTTTAAAAATAAGGTCAGAATTCAAATTTCATTATAGACATATGTTTGTAAATACCACCAACTAAGAAAAATAAAAAATAAAATAAATAATCGGTGGCATAAATGAATAGATTTATTATGGGACTAGGATGAAGCAGCGAAAATGAGGTATCACGAGCGAACTGTACCGGGTGATGAGACTTTTGATGCCCACAGAATTGAAAACTTGTTCTCTGTTTAAAGGATATTTATCATCTCATTCTCATTTTTGGAGCATACGGTTAGGAGGACACATCACCTCCCTATTGAAAGGGACATTTCACCATCCCCATCTACCCTTTTGTGATCCCTTCATATTTATATAAGCTTCCACATGTGTATATATATATATATATATATATATATATATACATATACATATATAATACCATTTTGTTGCATAAGCTTCTTAGAAAATTATCCAAACATTTTTTTTTTTTTAAAGGTAAGAATTGTTAGAAGTTAGATCAGTAAATATAGATAATCGAAGTCTGATACTTCAAAGTATTAATCTATTAGACTATTGAGACATCTGCGACTTATTATTTATTAAAAAATAAAAAAAAAATCATATGCCAAAGTTTTCTTCATGGTATCTAAGCTTCCACATTTATGTGTGTGTGTGTATATATATATATATAAAATAATAATTTGTTGCACGAGTTTCTTAAAAAATTATTCAGACTTATTTTTTCAATAGAAAAAATAATAAAAAATCAGATGCTGAAGTTTTCTTCATGGTATCTATTATCCAACCTAGCAGTGAAAAGTATATTTTCATTCATGGTTAATAATATATTGCGGAAGCCCCCGGGGGTAAGGAAAGGGCCTTGGTTTTAACATGTCTAGAGTTCGACTCCCCAACGCTTTATTATTTTTCCTGATTTAACCTGGTGCTGTAGTTGTGGAATCGGATGCAGCATTCCCAATTTGTACCTTGGGATAGGTTCAAATGGCCCTGTCCAAGGGAGTTCTGGTGCCAACTAATATATATATGTATGTATATATATATACACACTTTAAACATAAAATACACATTTTATCTGTTAAAAATACTTTAAATGTTTATAAGTTTAAAGTGTACCCTTTCTCTCTATTCATAGCACAAAAGTGTATGGTTTAACTTTCACTGTTTTGAATTTTTAAATTGTAATGTTGCTCCTTTTGCTACTATGAGATCACACTGTTCAGGGCAAAATAGTTATGAGAATCCTGTTAGGTGGCAAGCTCCTCCAATGGACGTGATTAAAGTTAATACTGATGCATCATTTTGCAAAGTATTATGTAAGGCTGGAGGTGGAATGGTTTTGCGTGATCATAGGGGAAAGGTGTTGCGATTGACGTCTTTTTTCTTTCTAAGAGTTTTGGATTCGTTAGTGGCTGAAGGTTTGGTACTTCGAAAGGTTATGGACCAAGTTATTCATTGGGGTTACAGTCTTATCGTGTTTGAGATTGATGCAGAGGTCATTGTTAAGGCTGCGATGTTGGATGTGTCTTCATTTCTTTTACTTAGCCCTCTAGTAGAAGATATTCGTGAATGGCACCCTGATTTTGATTTGGTATATACGCTTATAGTAGGGAATGAGATTGCCCATACAGTTGCTGTTTATACTTTACAAGACAAAAGTACATGTTTATGGAATGATAATTTCTCAGAGTTTGTTTTGTATAAAGCTCATTTGGATGTGTTTCTGATTATAATCAATAAATATGTTTTTTTACTTGCGAAAAAAAAAAAAACAAAAAGCTGCACTTAACTATGTTTAACAAAAACTATTCCAATAGTGTATATATGAAATTTTATACACGACCAAATTCTCATAGCAGGATTTGTCATTCCTGGTTTATCATATAGTTTTTGGAAGCTTAAATAAAAAATAAAAAATAAATCAGAAAATTAAAAGATCAACAAAAGCATTATAGCAATTGTGAATATACAAGAAGAACAACTCACAAGTGCCTGATACCTGACACCTCTTGAATGCCTGACACCCTACACGTTTTTTGTCAGGGTCCGCCTCTGGATTGGACAGTGTTGCCAAGCGCCCCGGGTTTCAATAATTTGTTAGGGGTGACGCTTTTAGATATCCTATGATCTTTACTCGATTCGTGTTCAGTGTTGTAAATATTTATTTAAGGAGTCACACCGAGGAGTGCAAATTGGATTGAATAATCTGAATCTAATTTGAGCTCCATTTTTTACGAGTTTAGTCTATCATTTTTATAATTAGGGTTAAATTTGGGTTGAAAAATTTCGATCCAAATTTAATTAGGGTTGAATTTGGTTGAAGTACTAGCAACCTGAACTTAAATTATAATATTATTTTATATGTATATATTTTTATTTTTAAATACATTATATATAAAATTTAAACTATGATTACTTTTTTTCTTTTCAACTCTTTTGTTAAATCTTAATTTGTTGTATGTTAGCATTTAGGTGAATTAATTTTTTAAAAATTTGTTTGTAACTTATTAAAAATTTACAAAAAATTTCTAAATTTCTTCTTGTTTAAGAATAATTTAATCTAAAACTAATTCAAGATCATATTAGTTTTCAGTATCAATATTAGCCATATGAGTAACACGAATTAATTCGGAATCTAAACATGAATTGCAAGCTCGAATTTAAAAGTAAAAAAATGGATTGGGAACGGATTGAGTAATTAAGGTTAAGGTTGATGATAGAATTAATGTTTAACTTGAATTTAACATTTTATACGATGGATTAGACTCAAATTATAACTCAGTCCGAATTACAACCCTAATCACGCCTACAAATGCTGTCTAATCTTTACTTGATTCTTGTCAGAGCTGACCTCCATATTCTAAAAATCTTGAAAGACAAAACTCAAATACATCAGTTAACAAGAATCGAATTATTATTAGAGTGACTAGAAATATTGATAGATTTAGTAAAAGACAACAATCAAATTATTATGGGGGTGACTATATGATATTATTCCCTTTCCGACCACTCAATAGATTCAACCACCTATTAAAGTTGTCAAGATATGGAATTCCTTTTCTCAACTAACTTTCTTTGATCACCTTCCATTCTTACTCTAATAAGAGCCCTAACATTCGGATATGGATTCTCTATCTCACTAATACACATTTGTTAACGTGGTAATTTATTTATTTATTTTTAATCATGGAGACTTATGCTTCGTTTGATAGGATGAAAGAAATTTGAATGAAAGAGATAAAAGAAGAGATAAATGAAACATACTGAGAGAAAGAGATTGTTGTTTTTTTTTTTTTTTTTAATAAGACAATACCTTATTTTGTTTGTTAGGAGGCAAGAAAAGAGAAAATGCTAATTATACGAAAAGTTTTGTAATTTAACATTTATAATAGTTTTGTATTTTCATGTCTTCAGTTTATATTTGGAGAGATGGAAATTTATAAATGACTAAGATGACCTATCTTTGTTTTTTTTTTTTTTTTACCAAACGACAAAAAATATGTTTTTCTATTTCTATCTTCTATCCCACTAAACGGGCATTAGAAATGTTTAGAGAGAAATTATTGAAGATGAACCAAACCTCGCATAATTCAAAATGTGTGATATTATCTTTAGTTCCACCATTATGGTGGGGCCATAGACCGTCTCATTAAATGGAGAAGGAGCGATGTTTAGCGAGAAACTATTGAAGATGATCCAAACCTGTCATAATTCAAAATCTGTGATATTATCCTAAGATCTGAATCCAAACAAGAGAGAACCCACCATTATGGTGGGCCATAGACTCTCTGGTGGGATCCACAGTCCCTCTATTTCATTCGGATTCAGAACGACAAGGATTTTCCTTATAATAATAATAATCACGACTTAAGTGCCTCCATTGCTTCAACAACAATCTCCTGTGTGTGTGTCTGTGTGTGTGTGTGTGTATATATAAGCTCCTATACATGCAATTAGTTCCAACTGGTGACTTTGAGTTCTGTCTTTTTTCTCTCTCTCTAGAAATGGCTGATACAGAGCACTCTTCTTCAGATGAAACTTCTGTTGATTCTCGAGGTACAAAACCCCTATTCCATGTATTGAAAGTACTCTTTATTTTTTTAACTTTAGCAGAAGAAACACTTTCACATAATGTTCTACCATATTTACTTCTGTTCAAAAGCTCTACTAGGTTTAAACTTATATATATATATATATTATTTCTGGACTTCTTATATCAGAAGTACAAATTTGGAACAGAAAAGCTTTAAGCAAGAGTGTGGTGTTCAATGATTTTTTTTTTGCATAAGAATCCATTTGAAAATGGTCTTTAAGAACTTCAAGAAATGAAATACTACATCAATCAGAAGACAGCAAGAAGACTATTATTATTATATTTTATTTTACCATATTTGATACTCTAATGACTAATAATTGGCTTGTTTGTTTCAGAGGAAAGTAGTAAAGAATCTGAACTAGAATTCTCTGAAGATGAAGAAACACTGGTCATTAGGATGTATAATTTGGTTGGAGAGAGGTTGGTGGTTCTCTTTTCTCCTTAATTTGGTCTGCCCTTCCAAACTTTTTGGCCTCTTCAGTAACATATATAATTTATATGAGATTGTACCATTTTAATCATATATATATATATATATATATATAATGATCAGGTGGTCACTAATTGCTGGGAGGATCCCAGGAAGAACAGCAGACGAAATCGAAAAGTACTGGAATTCTAGATATTCAACAAGTGAATGAGATTTCACAAAATCAATTGTGTTCTCTCTACAAAAGCGAGTTATCTGGAGGGTGAGGCAGATCACAGAGCACGTTCGAGAACTGGAAATTTCTGGAGTTTCAACCATTTGAAGAGAGAAAAAATAAGATTTTGTGTTCGATTAATGTCACGTTGCTCTATATGTTACTGTGGTTGGTGTTTATTGTGTGGGGTTATCGTTAAGTGTTCTTCTTCCACCATTATTTAATGTAAATCTGTACATAAAATGCTCGACTTTTATATGTACAAGTTTTATGTGCTTTCTATTGTCTATAGTTTCTCGTCTTTTGGGGATAAAGGTGATTTCTCAAACTTCTTTATTTTCATTTTTCTTCAATATCTTCCAAGAAAATTATATTTATAGTTGAGTAGAATTCATTATGATTATGCCCAGCTTGGTTTGGTGGGTTACTGTCGATTTCTCATCATGCATGCATTGTTTGTAGTACGGTCACAGGCATAACATCGGTTGCAGTCGCAGTGTAACGGACTCGGACAAAGTCAATGTAAACTGACCAATATGAGTCGCGGACTTGAAAAAGGGTCACGTATAGGCCGATTGCTGTTTGTTTCCACATAAACAAACATCACATGTGGAGATTAACTAGGATGTCACAAGCTCTCAACAACTCATTACATTCATTGGAAGCTAAGCACCTTGTGTAAATGATAATAATAATAACAACGAAGACAACAACAACAACGCGGATAACTGTCTTCAGAATCTAAGCAAATGGCATGACAGGAAAAAGAAAAGAAAAAAACAAGAAAGAATTCTCTAACTGTTTGTTAAGTGACAAATCAAGCAAACTTGAACATTCTCATTAAAACGAAGTGTTCAAGAAAGTATCATTTACTTCAATTCACCGTTTACTACATTCATTCATCACCAAACCCATGAAATAATCACATTCAATCATAACCAAACCCCTAAGAATTGCCAACATAGACTGGTTGATTGTAAACCATCAAATGCATTAATCCTGTATCAATACAAATGAAAAATGTGCAAATTCATCTCATCCAACGCACCCATACATTGAAATATGAAATTAGGCCCCCCCTTGAGGTTCTTGCATCACGTACGGCTGCTATATTGTGTGAAGAAATTTTTTTCTAAAAACATTTCATCTTGAATATGAATTTACGACACAATCCGAACCCATCCTATTTTGAAGCGGGGCAATACCGCTCCATTGGCATCCTCGCTACCAGGTCTCCAGGCACCAGTTTGAATAACTTCAATGGGATAACCTACTGACAAAATTTTCATCTCACATGTCGGAGGTGGGGAGTTCAAATCTCTTTAGAGTCACTCACAGAAAATTTCTCAATAATCGTCGGGTGCATATGAGATGAGGGAACTGCATATTCAACGTGGTTGACTATGTAGTGCTCTAAGAGGCCCAACACTCTCGTTGTCAACCCAAAAAAAAAAAAACCGTTTGAATGATACCTTGTTCACCTTTTCAAAAGGCAAGATCATCAAATTGTTCCCACTGTTTGAATCAACCTATTTCCAATTATCTCTGCCCCCAATATTTGATCGGGAGGCAACAAAATAAAGGTCTCTTTTCAATATCTCAACTTCACTTAACCAAACAAACAATATGATATTCTAACAGAACATATATCCAGGCAAATAAAGAAGATCCAAGCAATAGCAAGATTTCCATTTCAGAAAGAACATGCACAGACATAAATAAACTGAGGAGAAAAAAAAATTACAAAGCAGAATTATGTATTTCGCATAAAAAAACGAGTCTACAACAATGTTTATGGAACACGGGTTATGCTAGTGCATTTCTTTGATCATGAATAAACCTATCAAGCAAGCATAAATACACAAAACCTAATTGTTAATATTCGAGTCTCATAGACAAATTTGGTGTGCTTTTGCTTCATAATGGAAACCTTTCTAGAAAATCAGATCTGGTTTTGGCTTTTAGAAGAGAGAAGAGAAACAGAGATTCAAGTACCAGCAACTTGTTTCTACTATACATTGCTTTGTTTGTAGAGCTTGGTGTCAAGTACTTGCTTACCACACATTGCACATACCCCTGCACAGTAGAAAGCGGTTTCAGAATAAATTGCAAAGTTACATACAGCTTAGAAGTATTAAAAACTACCTTTCGAGTAAGCACAGGTATGGCAGTATTTCCCATCTTGATGTACTTGCTGCTTGCAGATAATGCACTTGGTCGTTCCATATGGTGTCCATCTGCAAAGCGATAAATTTATGAGTAAATCAAATGCACAATAAATAGGCAAAGAAGGTCAAGCATGCAAGATGTACAATCAATGAAATATTGAATAATATAACTGCATTGGAGCATACATATCGAAGCAAAATTTCAAAGATAACACAACCAATTTTGTAAGTGCAATATGATGTCCATGCCCACTGGAAACCTATAAATGCTTAACGATAATAAAAATCTTATCAAAGAAAGATAATAGAAATTAAAATATAAGCATTCTCAAAGTATATTATAAAATTTGTTTCTGTGACTATGTCAGTAGAAACCATAGTATGATAATGATATAGTAGGAGATAACAGTAATACAAGGGAGAATAGGATGTTACAGCTGCAATGGCAACTCCATGATGCTATTTTTGTTTAGTTCACCCTTTATGTTGTTATTATTGTATAGTGGAGGGTATGCCCTCCTTAGTACATTCTGTTTTAAACTTTTACCGAGAGAGAGGGAGAGAGATAACACTAAACACAATTGTTTTATCAGTCAAGACTTATGTTTCGTGTGGTTAGAGAGATGGAAATATAAATGGAAGGAAGAGGAGGAATGGATAAGGCACTCCTAGAGAAGGGAGGGTGCCCATCCCTCCTTTTGCTTGGTTGGGTAGAAGGGAAAGAAAGAGATAATATTATCATTTTAATGCTATACCCTTAGTTGTATAAATCAATACATTTAAATGATGTTAATAATGCCATTTCAATTTTATTAAACAAATATCATTATTTCTCTCTCCTCTTCTTCCCACTTTTGCATTGGAAGCAAGATGATGGGCCCAGAGGGTTGGCCCGTCCCTCCTACCAGCCTTCCCCTCTTCCTTTCCCTTCACACACTAGGGAAGCTTGCTCCATCCTTGCTCTCTTCAATCCCTCCTCCCTCTCCCTTCCTTCTTCCTTTCCCTTCCCAAACTAGGGAAGCTTGCTCCATTCTTCCTCTCTTCCTTTCCTCTCCCTTCCTTCCCTCCTACCAAACTAGGCTTAAGATAGTTAAGTTTCATACAACAGTTAATTCCATTTGATTATAATGAATATTAACACCTCTCTATGTTGTACCCCTAAGAATTTAAACATTGAGAATCCCACAAATATTTCCCAAATGTTAATAGATATTGTCTATGCCTAATTTTAGTTCCTTTTCTCATCTACTTATGTATATTTATGTGCATCTATATGTATGTGTATAACTCTCTCTCTCTCTCTCTCTCTATATATATATATATATATATATATATAATTTGATAAGTATGTATAACTAAATATATATGAGACAATTTTCAATGGAATTCAGCCTGATTCAACAAAGCCTGGTCTACTATTTCAAATAATTTTTCATTATTTTGATTTACAAGTGGTGAATTTGAAACAGTGTATTCAAGGGTTTCTTTGCAGGTACAGAACAAGCAAAAACATATTTTTCTATAAACGACTAAGTGCATTGTGGAGGGAAATTACCCTCCAATAGTAACAGGAGATCTGTACGAGGTAACAACAAACCACAGAGCAACAAGTGGCCATTGTAGTGTCAGCTTGGACCGTGCACATGGCTACCTGAACGAGCCAATGAGGCTGATCGGCAAGCCACATCAACTCAATGATACTTGGAAATCCCACATAATCAGTAAGTAATGGAACGGAGCTAAACATGGCCGAAATTAGGATTAACTCCAATCCTGAGAGTGAGGGATTGGATAGGCGAAAATCAAGCCAAATCTTCTTATATAAATACTCTGAGAAAGGAATAAGAAAAGGGGAGGAAAAAAGTAGTGACGAGATCTGTATATTCTTTGTATTATGTATCCTTGTGCTCCAGAGGTATAGTCTAAGCAATAAACAAGATTCTTAGTGCAATTCTTGAGTGTATCGTGCTGTGAATCTGTTGGTTTTCCTTACTTGCAATTTTTTGCACCTCCGTGCATATAAAAGAAAACAATTTTTACGCACAAGCACCTTTGTCTGCATTAACAATTTTATCTACTATAAAATTCAATCATAAAACTCACAGCATCGCACTAAAAGTTATACAAAGTCCATCAAGATTCAGTAGCAAAGCAAGCATCAATTTACAAGAAAACCGATAAGATTTTAAAATTTGTGCACAAAATACCAATTTGAGAACCCTTCTAAACTGACCTTTTGTACACAAGGCCGCAAGGTAAACCACATCTATGTGCACAAAATACTATTACAAAAGCGAAAGCATTGTATTTGTGAGATACATCAAGAAATTACATTGAATTATAAATACGAATATTTTAGGTCAGACGAATTAGCAATTCGGTTAAATAAAATTTTGGGTCCAATATTTCAATTAGCTTGCTCCTTTATCTATGCCCCAATTGCACCAATGTAGAATTACAAACAAATCATTCAATACTACAATATATATATATATAGAGAGAGAGAGAGAGAGAGGAGAGAGAATGACCTATTTTTCTTGGAGAGGAGCTTGTTCTCATTGATCTTGCGGCCACCTCCTTCGGTGGTGTTGCTAGCCCCTTCTTTCCATTTGTCTGGTACTATAACCTTCGCCAGCTTCTTCTCACCTGCTCCATAAAGGAAATTCAAAATTTAACCTAACCCAGATGCATATATACAGGATTATGTAAATACAGATTTATACACGCATATATACACATACATACGTAAGACATGTGCTGTATCATAAAAGAGGTGGAATAGGAACTTACACTTTTCGCACACCATTGTTTTGGGCTGCTCTAAAGCCTCTGCTTCTGTGAATTTCTCACCGAAGACGAAAAAGAAGAGTGAGAGAAACGACGTCAAAAGCTCAATTATACGATTCTTTTCACCGGATCAAAAGATCAGATCGTAGTAATTGACTGAAATAGCCTCAACATATTTATTTGAGCCGCCGACTTGAACCTATAAACCGGACTAGCCTTAACATATTTAGATGAGCCGATTTGAACCTATAAACCGGACTTTGGGTGGACTAGAACAGCTTAATGGGACGGGTTTGGTTAAAACCTTTTAACTTTGGAACTTGGGTTAAATCCATATATGATCTATTTTAATTTGAGTTAAATATGTACTTTTATTAAAATATAAATTAATAGTATAAAATTTGTATTCGGACCTATAAAGCCTATTTTTGAAAACTCAAATCATGTAAAATTAAAAAATAAGTTCATTATTGATAGATTTTACTGCAATATATCATTTGTTTTATTTACATCTACATGTACACTGGTATAATTTCTATTATATGAATTTAAGAGAAGAAAGTATTACTCTAATGTTACCTCATATTTAATAACCATCTTTATCAGTAAGTTTGAGGAGTAATAGTAAAAATTAAAATATTGTCATATGGATGATAAGAATGTTAACAATAATTGTTAAAATATATTTTATAATATATCATTACCTTATATAGCAGTACCTAATATAATAGTTGTCTTAACCTACTCTAATTACTATATATAGTATTAACTTAGTAATGACTTGCTCTACACATATGACCTATTCTATATAAACCCCATGTAATCTTGTACTACATATTACAAACATCAATACAATATAGAGTTCTATACTCTCTCTTATTTCTAAGTAACAATAATAATGTTAATTATGGTAATATTTTTAGTTGTGAAGTCAAACGTGCTAGATGACACATTTGCATACATTTTTAAAGCAGTTCTCTATTTTTGTATTAATTGTATTAATTGGGTTTTGTTAAATTTTGTTTAGTTAAAATGTACAAAAAAATAATAATAATAAAAAATTCAAAAAAATCTCTTAATATTTTATTAAGGTAATAATGACATATATTTCTCAAAGTGGAATCAAATTAATCAAAATTTTCTTTTAAAAGAGTTGAAACAATTGTTGAATAAATTCTAATTCTTGAAGAATATTTTTTCTTACAACTTCTTCTATTACTTGTAACTTATGCTTCATCTTCTCTATTTTTTTTTCCTTTTTCATATCATTTTTCATGACTACTTTTTTAGGTTTTTTTTTTCCTAAATATATACTAATAAGAGTAATATTATAAAGAAAATTATAATATGATTGATTTATAAATTTTTAAAATTTTAATCAGTACTAGTTTGGTAAAATGGAGCGAGTCTCGTGTATCGCACTAACGTTTTTTTTTTTCCTTTCATTTTTATAATTCGGTCCCCGAAGTTAAAATTTCTAGCTCCGCCCTTGACCATGGGTTCGATAGCAATCAATTTTTATGATTGTTAAAAAATAGAAATACATCATTTTATGAAACTGGTCATGTACACGGTACACCTAATTTTGAAAACTGATCTCAACCAACTACTATATATTGATTTTCTTTGGCCGAATATACTTGTATGTTTGAAGCACCCAATCAAAGTAGCTTTTGCCATGCAAGTGACACGATACTACATGACATCTGCATGTCAAGGGCAAAGATTTTGGTTCTAGAGTCTTCTAGAATAGTTTAGAGAGTGTTAGAGAATTTAGATTGTTGTACTAATCTATAGAATGATAGAGATCTTACCAGAAATTTCTGAAAAATTAATCTTAAGAGTGGATTAGAATGTATATCTAGCAGTTCTGATGTCTATAAATAGAGAGGAGGTTTCACTTATAATCCAACAATTTCTGAACCAAGTGTTTCCAAGTATGAAGGGTGTGCGAGTGTGCAACATGAACCCGTGAGGAATAATATAGATCATTTAAATTTAAAAATTATTATTTAAATTATGACTAATGTGCTTAAATCTGTATAGGGACTATAAATCTATTGTAAATTATAAAATCATATTTTATTATTAAAATTTAGAATTCCGTACCATATTTTTAATTTTTTTTTAAAAAAATTTCTTGATATGGTGAGCATATTTAATTGAGTATCATAAAAATGGAAAGAAAATTGAAAAAATCATATTATAATCGGTTTATTTTAAAATTATTATTTGAATTTCATGCTGTGATTAACATTTTTCTCTAAAGGTAGAACTGCTTTTTAGCAATATCCACACCTTTTTAATTCTTTTATGCATGTAACCAATGATGAAAAATAAGATGATGTTCTGGTTGAAAATAAATAATATAACTAAATAAATGAAATAAATTTCAAATTAATAATCCAATAAAACAATGGCAAATGAATTTGAAATTATGTGGAAGTCGACTCATGGTAGCCTATAGTCACGTGACATGCCCCCAAAAATGGGACATAGGTTTCAAGATTCAATCCTAATCATTAACGATTTATAAAATTATAAAAAATACAATATATGATTCAAATATATATATATATATATATATATATAATATGAACTAAGAAAATTGAAAATAATTGATCTCATGTTCATCAATCAATCCCATGGACTCAATGAACACTCCTCAGGCAAGGTTGGGTATCTCTCACTGTCCTTGCAATAATCATATATAACAAGGTTTCTCTCCACCCAAGCATAGTCCATTTTCTGGTCATCTGAGAGGTGCCAAGCGTCATATTGATCCCACCAGTTTTTGGTGGTGGTTGATACACATTCAGGGTAAGGGTCTTCCCATTGGCAACCATCAACACTGAAGTCCTTGTAGGATGACACAAATGGTGCTTTCTTCCAGTCCGTTTTCTCGAGCCCGCCCCTCGTGGCCCACTCGTCGGCGTTCCATATGCTCGAGAACAGGTACATTGGCTTCTCATTGGGGAAGAAATTGTTTGCATAATCCGCGTTCTTGAATACCCTTACCGGAACTTTGTCCACAAAAAACCTGTTTTTCATAATTTAGCATAAGATTCGGTTTGTTAATTAATTATTGTTTAACCGAGATTGTAATCTAATAGTATTTCTCCTGTCTCGAGATTCAAGTCTTGTAAAGATAAAAGTGAAAGTATGAACTTATTTGCCATAAAAAAGAAAAAGAAATGTTAGCCATGCTACAATGTCTTATAAAGCCTTGGATGGTGCAGAAAATTATGGTAAAGCCGATTACTAAAAAGGGGCTCAATGGTCTAGGCTAAGTGATTTACCATGATTAAGAAAAAATGTGATCCATTTGATATATACATATATATATATAAAGATCCCCACTAGTACAAGTGTTAGGGTACTGGCCCCATTGGAGTTTGAAAATAAGCCAATGTACATGGCTATGTACCCAAAAATGATGGCATTGGAATGTGGACATGTTTGATGTTGCCACAATTGATTTGATCATTATAATGTTAGATACTTCTTTAAGACATTTGTTTTATACTATGCTCTTTAATGTGGTTGGAATGCTTAGTTTATTAAGCTTGTCATAACAACAACTCAATAAATAACACAAATTTTTATATACAATGAGATAGCATCACCCAATCGAGAATGTTGGGAGAGAAAAAACAAACTTGTAACTTTTTTGTACACATAATTATTCTCGAATCTGAATTGAAATTCAAATAATGGTACATTTTTTTTTTTCATTGACAATAAACTGATACGCTCATTTGTTCATACGAAAACTTCTAACTCAAAAAAGCTACTAGGTTATAGTAATCGGTGATTAAATAATAATGTACTTAGACTATTAAAAGATGGTTATAAATCAGCAAAAAGAACTTACACAATCTGGTGGTTGTTCCAAAGGACAGAATAGCTGTGGAAGTCCTCAGTGGGATCAAACCAAAGCATGTGCCTCATCTCACGGCCTCCAGTCCCATTTTTGTAGATATTGGTCTGTATGAGGTAGGGCTGCCCTGTTCTATTCCCCAAGAACTCAAAATCTAGCTCATCTCTCGTCGGCCCAGCCCCATTTTCCGTGCACATCTACAAAAATACAGTAAAAATTCAAATCTCTGCAGTGTTAAATTCGATGACATTACACTGAATCTTACATAATAAGCTGTCACAACACCGGCAGAGTCGCCTCCCACCAACTTGAGCTTCATGCTAAACCACCCGAATCTGTACCTCTGCTTCGTTTGAAATCCACAACCTATTCAACCATTTTTTATGAGAAAACAACTTATGAACATAAATATATTATATGTATATGTGTATTGATACTTGTGTTATATGTACCTGTTTCTTTGTCTAAGGAGAGATACCAGATTTGGCCATCTTCGGAGGTCTTAAAATGGTCTTCAGACCACATTATATTGAAATTGTCTTCGAATGTGCCTTTCGATTCATCTGCTTGAGATGATGAGCAAAGAGAAGCAACGAGAGCTGCAATAAACAGAAGAGTGGACATTGGAGAAACCCTTCTTTCCATCTTGGGTGGAAGGATTGGGAAGTAGGAGAATCTGTTTTCGTCTGCTGGATCTTTGAGATGGAGGAGAAGAGCAATAAATAGATTTGTTTTCTTATAAGCTTTTTATTCAAACAAAGGGTAGAACTGGAAATTTAGTATACTTATTTTGGTCGATGTAATTCTCGGGTATAGAGCACATGTACAACCTTGCCCTATAAGATGCCCCAAATTATCCTAAATTTTCCCAAGCAGATCTGTTGTCGGATGTGGGTATAATGCTTCACAACATTGGGAGTTCTAAATATTACTCGTTTATTTTCATTGTTCATGAATTTTAAAACTAAAAGGGTTACATTCCTACGTGGAAGGGGTTTCCATGCCTTACGTGCACTGTAATAGTGTCGTTTTTATGCACAAGACGAATATGACATGATTCTACATTGATTCATGTCCGTTAAAAATAACCTATGATTAAAAGAATTAATTTTATCCTACAAAGAAAGAGTGAAGAGACCCTAGTATGTAGGATAATCTCTATTTTTCTTTGTGCACGAAAGAAGACCAAGGTGCATCACTACGATATTGTAAAAAAACCCATATAAACAACAAATATATTGAATAGCTAGTGAATAAATAAGGATGCAAAGGCAATTGTGCTATGTGAAAAAGTTTAGGGTGTGACTTTGGACTCGAAACTCGAATTTTAAGCAATTTAAGCACCATTTTAATCACTCGTATTAGGCGAGGATTGGTCTAAGATTGGTAATATGGGGACATCTGAGAAGGGCAATATAGAGAGAGTAAGAATATATAGAGGTGCACAAGCAAACGAGATCCAAAAAGATGATGGTCAGATAGGCACGAAAATTCCAGGCTGCCCATGAATTGATTTTAGCTGTAGAATAGTAGGTGTGGGGTCTACATGTTACATGTAAGAATATGAATGTTTGATTGATCATATGGACAACTGGATTTGGAGGTCCGGAACAACTGATTCTTGAGATATTATTGCCTATTGGTCAGTCAAAAATTACACACACAAACACACACATATAATACATATAAGCCGGTATAGATTAAAAATATATATACACACACTTATCTTTTGGCTTTTTTGACTTTTTTTTATTTGATTTGTATAAGCTTTACGTGACAAAGTTTAATAATCAATCACAATAAACAGAATAAAAGCAGTGAAATTTTGGTGGGTAAAAGAGCTTATGGTAATGAACATGACCAACGTATATTCCTGTCACATTAACCAATAAAATAAAATACTAAAAAGTAGGATTGATACTTATATAAGCTGCAGATATATATATATATACCTATCATGAGGAAATGGTGGTCCCCCAACTTGAATTATTGGAGAGCTTCTTGAATACATTGGAATGTGATTGCAAACTCAATGGACCAGTTACTGTTCTGAGTTCCATTCCAAAAAAAAAATTTAATAGCAAAAAAATGGTTTCACGATATATATATATTTGGTAATCCATGGTTTGAGATGGAAAATCAAATAATTCACAATGAGAGTTAAAAGTTTTAAGGGACAAAAAACCCAGTAACATTACAATATATATAATTGTAAAACATGTACTCTTGTATATAAAATTAAAATGATTAAAAATTAAGTAGGTCAGTCTTAAGCGAGAACATTATTATTTTTTTGAACCAAGGATGATGGTTGCAAATTTTATAATTTATCATCGAATACATATAATCTCCTCGTCTCACGCGCACATGGAATTCGAAGTGTGCTTGTCGTTGTTTGACAACAGATGCAACTAGTACTCCACTTATCCTTCTTTAGAGCCTTGTCCGAGAGAGCTGAATATTTGATGTGGAATGACATTTTGTGTATGACACTATTTGACCTACACATATTGTATATATAATACATTATACATATAATGGAGTCACATGTATGTGGTACAGGCTGTGTAGTGTCGGTGGCAAATGCATGGGAATGCTGTGTTGGATGTAATATACTGTATCAATTAAGCAAATGGGGTTCCTTATTACACATAAAATATAATAAGAGTGGATCCAGTTCTGGTTAATTTGACTTCCAAATAGTCAGCTCTCTAAATTAAGAGAATATAAAATTTTCATTATTCATTATTTAATATCAACTGTTATAGTTTTTATATTTATCTTGACTCTTTTGTTATTTTTTTGAACACATATTTTATTTGATTTACTCAAAATTTAGAATTACGTTGAACAGTTGTAAAATAAATTATTATAATGTCAACGGATACCAATAGTTCAGAATGAATAAATATTCTCGCACTAGGATAACATAATAAGTGCAAAAATTATCAAAATAACTCTAAAATTTTTTACAAAGTTGAACTTGGTGTATAGTATTTATTAGACTCCACACTACCCACCAAGTACGTGATTTCAATATCCTACATTTCATTATTCTATACTATCGTTTTAATATATAACGCCATCATCTTGAATGAAACAAATGGCAAAAGAAGCAATGTTTTATAATTTATTATGTAAGAGTTACATGTTTGATAACTATAATTTGTTATACTATGTTTCAGAGCAAAATAGTAAATAAATAAAATAAATGTTTGAGTGATTGTAAAAAGATATTTCTTTAATTATGTTGGTTTAAAAAAAAAAAATTCACACTACAATTGTTCAAGTTCAGCTTGATTATTTTAACTAAAAAAAAGAAGAAGTTCAGCTTGAGTAGTAAAACTGTAAAAATAAGCAAATATATTTTTCTTTCTTCCAAATTTGATTTTTTTAATAAACAAATATGATATTTTATGAAGGACAATGCTTAACTACTCACTGGTGAGTAGGGTGAAGCTACTCACCCCTATGTGGCCAAATAACAAAATAACACATTACCTTTAATAATAAAATAATTCACACATTTTTTTATTTTCTCGAATCAATCATTGAATAAACATATGTAGTGTTTTTAGGTATAAATTATTTTATTATTAAATATGATGTGATTTTTAGGTGTGAATTATTTTATTATTAAATCACATAGGAGTAAGTAATTTCACCCTACTTACTGAAAAGTAACTAAACATTATCCTTTTATGAAACAATCAGTTTTAAGGTTCGACTCCCACCAAATCTATAATGGGGAGGCGAGTGAATCTATAAAAAATTAAAAAATTATATATATATATATGGTTCGGCATAAAGTAACAAATTTGCCGCTTCTTTTGTTTAGACTGATTTTGAAACAAAAATACGAAACAAAAATGCTTGTCAAACAAGTCCAAAAAACTTCATCCAAAGGAAATTGGGTTTTGGTCTGGAAACAAGCCACATTGGTGATACAAAGAATTGGGCCCACCCCCAAAGCACATAATAGCATTTCACAGTCTATCCAAACAAAATTGGGTTTTACGTCTGGCAACAAGCCACAGTATCGTTACTTGAGACTAAGGGTTGGGCCTAACCCACGAAGCCCACATTTGGCCTTTTTATAGCTTATCCAATCTTCTAAGGTTGACTCTTTCAAACTGTATACTACCAGTGTTGACTAGGTCGAAATCGAAGCTCTTCACTGCATCAAAGTAGAAGAAGATGTCAAGAACACCATAGCCACAGCTTCACTGGACTGGAATGCCTTATCGCAAACCTCCAATCTTCAACAGACCAATTTCAGGTTTAACAAAACCAACACCTCTCGATTGGAGAAGTCACTACAAGCAGACCCAACTCGTCTCCCAAATCTCTTCCACCCTTTTACAGAGACACAATTGGACTCCTCTTCTCCGCAACCTCAATATCTCTTCCAAACTAACCCCATCTCTCTTCCTCCAGATCCTCCATGAAACCCAAACCAACCCACAAACCTCCCTCGCTTTCTTCAATTGGGTCAAGTCGAATTTAGGTTTTCAACCAGACCTCGAAACCCTCTGCAAACTCACCCAGATCCTAATCGTGTCCGGACTCACCCAAGACGCAAAACCCATATTGGATTCTCTAATTCAAGCCTACCCACCGACCCAGATTATTAATTCCTTGATCCAAGCATGCCAAGGTACGGATTCACACTCCCCTGTTTTGAGTTCTGTCGTTGAATGTCTTTGCAAGAAGGGTTTTTTCTTGCAAGCCTTAGAGGTTTTTGTGAAATGTAAAGAGAATGGATATATTGTTTCAATTCGTAGCTGTAATGCGTTGCTGAATGTGTTACAACAAGAAAATGAGATTAGATTAGCATGGTCTTTCTATGGTATGATGCTGCGTAATGAGGTTTTAGCTAATCAGTCTACATTGTCTATAATTGCTCGGGTTCTTTGCAAAGATGGGAAGTTTGAGCGTATTGTTCGGATTTTAGACACGAATATATATAATTCTGTGATATATAATCAGATTATTGATTGTTATAGTAAAAGAGGGGACTTCAAAGCTGCATTTGATCACTTAACTGAGATGTGCAATAGAAAGCTCGATGCGGGTTTTAGTACTTATAGTTCAATTCTTGATGGGGCTTGTAGATTTGGAGATGTTCAATTGACTGAAATGGTAATGGATTGTATGGTGAAGAAGGGATTTCTTTCAGAGCTTCTGCTACGAGATTATGATTCGATCATTCAGAAGCTGGCTGACTTGGGTAGGACATATGCAGCAGATATGTTTTTAAAGAGAGCTTGTGATGAAAAGATTGAATTACAGGCTGCTTCTTATGGGTGTTTGCTGAGGGCATTTTCCAATGAAGAAAGAGTAAAGGAAGCAATTGGGATATACCGCAGTATATTGCAAAGTGGTGTTGAAGTAAATGAGAGTTGTTATAATGCATTTGTTAATGTTCTTTGCAAGGAAGATCCTTCGGTGGAAGTCAGTGAATTGTTGACAGAGATGATTAGAAGAGGGTTTGTTCCTCGTGGATCGGAAATATCTACATTTATAAATTCTCAATGTGATCAAGGTAGATGGAAAGAAGCGGAGGAGCTTATGAATGAAATTCTAGAGAAAGGTTTCTTTCCTGATTCTTTTTGCTGTTGCTCATTGATAGAGCATTACTGCTCTAGCAAACAGATTGATTCAGCTATGGCACTGAATAATAAGATGGAAAAATTGGAAGGTACACTGGACATAGCAACATATAACTTACTCCTTAATGGGCTTTTTAAAGAGAAGAGGATTGAAGATTCAGTTAGGGTATTTAATTACATGAGTAAAAAGAATTTGATCAGCAGTGAGAGTTTTTCTGTTATGATCAGCGGGCTCTGTCATGAAAAGGAATTCAGGAAAGCCATGAAATTACATGATCAAATGTTGAAGATGGGACTTAAACCTGATGAAAAATCATACAAACGTTTGATATATGGGTTCAAATGATATATTGTCATAGATTCTTGCATGTTATGTATTGATGTTCATCAGCACTCTTGTAGCCTACCTTCAGCAGATGCGCATTATAGCCTATCAGGTGGGATACAGTTATTTAGTACTCAACAAAGCCTTTCTCTACTATTTGGGATACTATTTTTTCTGCTACTATAGTGGCAATGAAATTTTTGGTAGAATACAACATTTTAATGTTCATGTATACACTGAGTTTCCATTATGTTTTTTAGCTTTATGTTTATATATACACTGATTTTCCATTATGATTTTGTTAAAACATAATTTGTTTGGGAGAGATGTGAGGAATATGTTTCGTTTCTTCCTATATTTTTTATAATAATAAATTTTTTATCCTCTTCATTGCTGAACCATGTGTATCTTGCACCATGCACATATGTTGGCTTGATTTTCCTCTGAATCTGTTGGTGGATATATAGATTTTGCTGCATAAACATTTATGAGAAGTACCATATTTTCTTCTATGCTTTGATGTCTGCAGCATCTTATGGTAATCCTCGACATTCATGTTTATCTTTTAGTATTACTTTAGCTATATAAATCAATTTTGAAAACCTCTCTTTCTTTTTTTCTTCCTAGGAGTATCCCAATCTGCAACATTGTACCATTTCATTTAAGATTTCGTCATTCATTTTTTTTTTTCCTTCCTAAATTCCGTCATTCATTTTTATATAAAAAATTTGGACATGTTAACTATTACTAGTAATACTCCTAATACTTATAAGTTGTTATAAGTCTTAAATTTAAAGATTACTCGAAATTTATGGCCTGTAAGTTATTTAGTTTAAACTATTTTAGTTTATATCTGATTTACACTTTTATAAATTAATTAAAATTTTATATTAGCTTAAATATATGTGTGTGTTTATATATTTTGAAAGCTGAAGAAATAGTTTTTTTATACACTGATCCCATGGTTTGTTGAAGGTTGTAGTACTATTGCTTTCGGGAGGTATGATTGTTGAGAAAAAGAATATATTCCTCACTTTCGGCTTTGGGATAGCAAAAACCCAACACAGAAACTTTCCTCATCAAAGCTTATTTCTGTCAGTTTAGGTCATTTGCTTTCTTTTGTTTTCTGAATCTTTTATGGTTCTCTTCCAAAAAAACGTATGGTTCTCTTCCAAAAAAAGTGATTTTGGACGGCCAAAAGCCATTAAAGTCTGCTGGCCTCAACTCACTTCATGCAAAAATAGACACACACACACACACACACACACACACACATCACTATGCAACTTTGCGTACGAATACAGCTGCATAGATGCCCTTATTGGCTAGTTACCATTGTGCCCTCCCTTATCCTTGGCAAATTGCATTTGTAACATGCTGGAGGTCAGAATAGTAATTTCACGTATTTCTTTTTTACTTTTTATTTATATATTATTTATTATTTTTATTTTTTGGGAAAGTCCAACGTCATCTTTTCCAATTTTGGTCATGTTCTTTGTACTCCATAGCAAATATCTCCCTCTTATATTATCATGGCAAGGGTGAGTTGAGAGAGAGGGAAATACATATACATATACATATATAGATATATAGACATAGAGAGGGAGAATGGAGGAACAAGTTGAATTGGTGGGGAGGGCATTTGTGGATCACTACTACCATCTCTTTGACAATGAACGAACTCGTCTCTCATCTCTCTACCAACCAACCTCCATGCTCACCTTTGAGGGACAGAAGATACAAGGGGTAGATGACATCTGTGGTAAGCTTAATCAGCTACCGTTCGATCAATGCCGCCACACAATTAGCACCGTTGATTCCCAGCCATCATCCTTCACTGGTGGCATCATGGTTTTCGTTAGTGGTAGCCTCCAATTGGCAGGAGAGGAACACTCCCTAAGATTTAGCCAGGTTATTTTGCACCTCTCTCTCTCTGTCTCTCTCTATATATATATATATATTTGGGTGTATTGTGTTGAGCAGTTGAGCTCATGGTTAGTGTAGTAGTCCATGACCATGAAGCATATTTTGGGATCAATTTAAATTATGTTGTTTTGGGGATTGGCTCGTTATATATAAGAAACTAAAAAGTTTGAAATTTAGTTTACATCACAGTAAAATGTGTCCAATTGTAACATCTAAACAACACAAAACTATGATATTTATGGGAATGACTTTCAACTTATGGCAATGATTTGATGGTTGATAATAATATATAGCTTATATATATATGTGTGTGTGTGTGAGAAAATAACTTGGTTTTTTATTTTATGTTTGTGATGTTGCAGATGTTTCACTTGATTCCATTGCCGCAAGGAAGCTTTTTTGTGCAGAATGACATATTCCGCCTCAATTATGGTTGATCTTGCAATGTTGTTTGATGTGGTGCTGTTCTCCAGTGGAAATAAAAAGTTACTCATATATTAGTAGCATTCTCTTTAATTTGTTGTTGATTCTCCAAAGCTTCTCTCATTATTGGGATTTCTCTTAGGAAGTTTCATTGCATGCAGGATCGAGTGCATCATTTCACTTTTTACCTAGAAATAGAAAAGCAGAACTTAGTAAGTTTTACTTTAAAATTTCTGTTTTTTAACAAGACAAGTGGTTAATTTTATTTTAAGATTTTAGACAATAAAAAGTAGTATGAGAAACGGAGTAATTCAGTTATTTTATGTGAGTGAGAGATAATGTCATCATGACGTCATCAATTATACTGATATCATAATCTACTCACATAAATATAGTTCGAAATTAATTTACACAATCATAATTATTCTCAACGGGTGCCGCTCTTACACTCTAAGTGCGTTATGGCTCTAACGTTTTGTGCATGCTCTCGTTCCCGTTCTTACTTTATGCTATTTAAATTTTAACCTTTTTGCGCTTCCGCTATCGAATTCGCTCTTGCTCCCTCTCTATGTGACTTAGGTCAAAGTATTCAACTTCTGGACTTTGTATCACCAAGTCTTAAATTAAACAAGTGTAATGAAGCCTGAATTTAGTTAACCCAAATTTTATTTTATTTTATTTTTTTCAGGTCATTGGCAAGAAATTCACACACACCATATTCACACACTCACTTTACATCTTTGGCTATTCAAACCCTCACCATCCACTTTGAGAGCTAGAAGAGATACCATTAGGCCACAAGGTCTTGATAAATTCTTGAATCAATTAGTTAAGGTTGGTTTGTTCTATATACCTTATTGAACCAGGCCTATTGAAATGGACCTGAGTTATATTGGGCTTGAGCTTTCAAAATATATATAACCACGTGAGATATACAAGTAGGGTTGGTTTAAGGGTCCTTTATAAGATTAAATCTTAATCTCAATTTTGGTATTATTTTGGATAAATGATTTATCTTATGTTAAAAAGTCAATGTGTCCAGAACTTTAAGAATTGTGACCAAGAAATCAACAACTATGTATGTTTGTGTACATATGTGTGTGTGTCTGTGTGTGAGCGAGAATTTTGACAGTGAAAACAAAGAACAGTACAAAGACTTCTCACCAAATCAAACATTACATCTTCTGAACAACCAAACCATCTACCTAAACTTATAATATACTACGAAAATTTGAAAACTCATATTAATATATCATTGGTACAACGTTTTAAGCAGGCCATTTCATAGATTTGCCACAACTTAAAACTTACTCCTACTCACCATATCAAGCTATCTCATAAGCATTACTGTATATATATATATTGCCAGTTAATTATATAAAAGGGAGGGAGAACAATTTTTGGATATATAAATTAAAACGGTATTATCCTCTAATTAATGTAAAGTCCATGTATTATGTTGTATATATATCATAATATCAGTAGCATTTCAAAGAAGATTTGAAGACATTAGTCATTAAGACTGTCTGTAAGTTACCGGCATGTTTCTTAAGAAGTAATGCAAGGATTTGCTAGCTGGTCTTCATCAGACGTGGCTCCAACAATCAATAAATCTTAACACACACACACACACACACACATATATATACACAGAGAGAGAGAGAGAGTTGTGGAATATAGAAGGAATTAAGCAAATGAATAATAGTATATGAACTATGGCACCATATATATATATATATTACTGGTTATGAATATTAATTAAAATAAATGAGACAGATTCTGTAAGGAAAACATGATGCACATATGGAAACAAATCTAATTATACTACTTCCATAATTCCATTTGCATTAAAACAAGGGCAAAGTAAAAATAATAAATAAATAAACAATTACCTCATCTTTTTTTCCAGTTTGCCCTTAAAACAAATTACACTGATAGATACAAATATCATGTTGATGGCACGAAAGATTAAAGAAAAATTTGGACAGCTAGGATGGCTCAGTAATAATGTTTTTGAACCTTTATATGTATATATAAAACATGAGGTGTTGCTTTTGTTTTAATTATTATTATTTCCTACTAAATTATTATATGCTTAAAATATTAAGAGAATGGGTATACCTGCAGAACAATCTTGAATAGCTGCCGGTACATGAACATTGTAATTGGCAACCAAATCAGACTGCTCGATCAGCCCTGCCAATATATAAAATTTATTTAACTGGCTTCCAAGCTTTACAGGGTTAGGTGATAGTGTTTTAATTTTCACTTAATTTCTAGTTTTTACGTACATTTCCTACCGAATTGAATTCTTTGAACACAATCCATATCTGGCCATAAATATGGTAAAACGAATTTGTTTGGTAAGGATAAACATAATATAGTAAAATGAATTGGATTGGGATTTGGTTTCAATTAAGTTAAACCCGATTGCAAGATCTAAGATGTCTTAAAACGTTGATGTTTGGAAGTATAGTTGGCAGTCACTTAAAACTAATTAAGGCGATATGTGCCCATTTCTTCAAATTAAAGGATTTTCGGCAAAGAAGAATAATGTGTGTGTATATATGTTTTGATTCACGAGTGTATTTGTGTGTATATATTAGTTCTTGTTCAAATTAAATTTATACATATGGATTTAGGTGCATAGCCTTACCAAGGTGTATGCGTCTATAAATATGGTGGTTGGTGGAGAGGGGGGTGGTGGTAGGAGGTGGCATGGAGAGGGGAGGGGTGATGGCCATCATTAGAGGGTGGAGGTGTAAGAGGTAGATATGGCAATGGTTAGAGGGTGGGGATGTAAGAGGTGGAGAAAATAGAGTGATAGATATGGAAGGAGAGAGGAGAAATAAAATAAATATAATAATGGCAAATTTATTATTTTGCGGAAAGTTATAATATGTATGAGTTGTTGTACCTCAAAACGATGTAGTTTTGAGGTAGAGGACGAGGGATTTGGAAAGAAAAGATAATGAAAATCGTGTTTGAATAACTTTTAGTAGAGAGAAAAGAAAGGATTGGGAGAAATATCCCTTCAAATCATGCTTCCAAAAATGAAAAGATTTGGAGGAAAAGATAGTGAATAAGTAGTATTTTCATAATCCCGAAATTACCCTCTTATAACTTTTGACTTTCATCTTATAATATTTTATAAAAATGTTATGATAATAATTTATTATCATTTCTTTTCCTTTCTCTCGTCTATCTTTTTAACAATAATACTATCAAATTTATTTATTTATTTATTTTTCTTATAACTAATGATATCATTTCATTTCATTTCTTTCATATTTATTCAGAAAAATCCTAAAAGAATAAGAAGTGACAAGATGTGTTGATAATATAGGTTCCCAAACTAATAAATTGTTATGTAACATATATTCTTAATTGGTTCGAAAGTTAAATTAAATACAGAACTAGTTTAATTATGAGTTAATAGGTTGTTATAGTTGTCTAAAGTAGATGAGTTGAATAACGCGTTAAAGCTACATATCTTTGTGGATTAAAATTTCCCGGATTGATAGGTATTTGCAATATTTAGGACCACCACCAGGTCACAAAATAATGCCATTTTGTCCAAAAATAAAGTAGGTCAAATTTATCATTGGACTGTTAAAATACAAAGCTAAGCTGTCATTGACTGAATTTAACAATTTCCTTATTGGATTCTATATTTCTTTCTGTCCTTTAAACCATCCCTCACCTTCCTTTGCCCACTGGTGTCCACCTTTTCCTTCCTTGTTCTCTCTTCCTCTTCTTCTTTCCCTCCCTCTCTCCTCCTCTTCCTGAGGAGAAAAGATTAAATTTATTAATTTAATCTCTTTCTAATTTCAATCCTGAGACACCCAGAATCAGTTTCTTTCTCACAATTTGTTTGCTTCGCTTCATTCATTCACATCATCATTATGAATATTATTATCAGCATTCAATCCTGAGGCACAAACAATCAGTTTCCTTCTCATTTTCTCTTTTCTTTTCTGTTCGGCTCAATTGAATTATACATTATTTTCGTATCAACATTTTCCAGATATATATCTTCAATCTTGAGACAACGCCCACTTGTCTCTCTCTCTCTCCAACAATTTCTTGTTCAAAGACTGAATTTGTTTATTATTGGATATAAGCATCAACAATATTAGAAGGAAGAAGAAGGAGAAGAATAGTGCATTGTTTGGAGGAGAAGTTGCTTCTCCTTGTATCACCTCAACCTCTCTAAGAAGGTAATTTTATATTACAATACGTATTTATATATACATATATACATATATATATATATATGTTCGATGTATTAATGGATTATTTGACTTTCTGTATCTTCCATGGCATTCCCTTTTCGCAGGCAAACTAACCACCTCTTCACATTTGGGTGGTGTTTCTTCGTCGGCTTAATTGCAGTGACAAAAACTCGTAAAGAGGCCGTTGGATTGGCCTTAATTGTAGCTTCTACCATGACAATCAAAATGAAAGGTCTCACCAAAGGATTGAAGTACATCTCCAGACTCTTTGGTAATGCCTTCACCTCTGTCAATATAGATCATGTATATACGTACATATTTATATATATATGTTCGTATTAGCAAAGTATGCTGTAAGTTGTAACCAATATGGTTCCCTTGGGGCAGAAATCTGGGTAGGAGGACTCGAGACAGATCTAACATTTGATATTTCGGACACTCCAAAGTGGCACCACGCCACACATATTCAAGCATTAAACCGCACAACAACATCAACACACTAAATTAATCACCTAATTTTGTTTATAACGTACAATGGGTGTTCTTTTTTTGCACTTTATTATGATGGATTTTGGTGCTTGGGGGCTAAGGTGTAAAAGATGGTGTTCTGTAGTTGTTAAGGATCGTGAGATGGAAATTGGGCAACCAACAGATGTTAAGCACGTGGCGCACATCGGCTTTGATGGCCCCACTGGTAGTGCACCCACGTGGGTATGTATTTCACATTGATGTCTCTCTTCTCCTTCATTTTGTTTTCTCATTTGACTTGGACACAAGACAAATTTTATTTATTTAATTGGCCTAATTATTGTTTCATGAATGTAGATGAACGAATTCAAGACACCCCCGGACTTTGCAACCACATCAATTAGAGGGTCTTCTGCTCACTCCACACGGTCATCTCTAGGTTAATTTCTTCTCTTCTTCCTTTCTTTTCTCATTTCTGGTTTCTGTGTGTATGACCAATCCTCGTTAGAATGTGAACAATATTGTAAGTGTGTTTCTTTGAACTTTCAATATATATATATATGTATACATCATACATTATATATGAGTTGTGATACTGCGTTTGAAAATCAAACATATCCGATTGTATTGTTATATATATATATGTGTATACATCAAACATTATATATGCGTTTGAAAATCAAACATATTCGATTGTATTGATGCAAGTAGATGATAGAATGATGATGACATGAATCCCACGTTCACTTAATAAAGGCGGATAAATCTGATTTTCGGACACTATATCATTTTCATTATATATATTAGGACTTTTAATCTTTAGTATAAGAAGAGGGGATGTCATTTTAAGTACCAGCCAAGGAAATATTATTTTGAGTATAATATAGGTAAAGGGAATGTTAAGTTATAGTATCATATATGTTTCAATAACAAGTAACAACACAAAATGTAACTGTTGATATCATGTGCAGTGTTTCTAATCAGACAAGGGCAAGGAAGGCCTTCACGTGAATTGTTGATTGGAAGATGATAGATTTGTCCCATTTTTTAGAATCAAAAAAATGTTTTTTTTTTCCCAGATTCTTTGCCTCTCCAGTCGGGAAGAGTTTTTACGACAAAAAGGTTGGCAAGAGTTTTGGCTGTTCTGTCACGGGACCATGTCATTTAACATGGGGGAATCTATTTACTGACTGTTGGCCCCATAAGATTATGACCGCTTTCTGAATTTTGCGGTGCGGTACAAAATTTTAAGCTTGGTGAGCTGAGGGTTCACTAGATCCTTTGTGTCTTCATGGCATCTCGTCAACTCGATAAGAATAGCAAGACTCTTGTCATTTTACATTTGGGGTTTCGATACAAAACTTGTGACTTGGTCACAAAGTAGACAACATTAGGGAAGAATTCGGTTTCAACACAAAAACAGAAATATCTCAAACTTTACATATAATTATAATCAACAGTGATGCTTTTTCCAGCACTAGCTTTACATATCCTTTTTTCCATCTTCAATTCTTTGGCTCCGTGAATCACGATGCTTATGGAATCTATCATTGACTCGGTCTTTTCCGTGGGATAAAATTTGTTCATAAATTTCTTTGGATGATCGAATAGAATTCGGAGGAATGGAGCTTTACCATGAGGGAGCCTTATCTTATTATGATTTTTGAAAGTGTTGCAAATAATTAAGAACTTTCCTAAATAAATATAAGGTTGCTTACTTTTGAATCCATGAAAATAAGGTAAAAGACCGATATTGGGCTCTACCATTTTTTGCATACTTGTTTTAATCATTGACATTGTTGATTCAAATGATAGTTCTCCTACTGGACCATGACTATGAGTTTTGAAAAATAAGTACCAACTCTTTCCATCACATTACCTTCTTATTTTGATCGTCTGCTTATTTGATGTTTCTGGTATACATTGATTTCAAAAAGGGTTCAAGATTTTGGATTTCCATCTTTATTCTTGGCAAATTAAAAAAATAATAATAATGAGAACAATAATTTTATTAATATGTAGCTTTGTTGTGAATTCTGATTCTCTATTTTATGATACACTTTGTGAATAACTTCCTTATGTAACAGAGTCTGAATCGAACACGAAAGACATAGAAACCCCCAAACACACAAAGAAACATAAGAGGAAGAAGACCAAATCAACTTCCTCCGAGTCTAGCCCTTCCTCATCAAGATCCTCACGAGCAGCAAGATCGAAAGCTAAATTCGTTGAGAGCACCAAAGGACGACGTACAGGGTTAGAAGCGGCGTGAGATTATAAACTTAATGTGGAGGAACACAAACTAAAGAAATTTGCAATCTTGTGTATGAAAGAACACGATCATCTCCTTTTCTTGTACTTGGCTTGTTCAATGAGGTACGACAAGATTGCATAGGTTGGGACATGAAAATGTGTAAATTTTGAAGAGGAAAACATTGAATGTTTGACAGATCTCTGGCACGGAGGGACAAGAGAGGTGAGACATAGGAGGATGTAAAAAATGTTCATGAATGACAATGAGAAGGGAAACTGCAAATTTATTTATTTAGTTTTCCTTTCTTGCACACATTCAAGGAATAAACATGTATATAATTGCACTTGATTTGCAATTGAGGGGATGACAAATTGATTCTTGATTCATGTAACGACCCGAACTCATGGGTCCGAATCATTAACCGGGTCTTACTTCTAACTCGAGGTCAACTAGGTCACACCATCCATTTCTTGTGTCCATATCTGCCACATGAATCAATCCGGGGTCCAAAATACCCTAAGACACAACCTTACTGAGGGGGTTAAATGATATAGATCAAAAGGGAAGGATCAGCTGGCTGATGGCCCTTGAATGGCAGGCTGAAAGGACTGGTTCGGTCGGCTGACATACAGAGTTGGCCAGCTGAAACAATTGTGCAAAATGCATACTCTCGGGACTTTGCTACAGTAAGAGTGTCGGTCGACTGGTAGGGAGGTTCGGTCGACCGAACCTAGGGTTTCGGTCGACTGATGGTGAAGTTTAGCCGGCCGAAACAAAGCTTTTCACCACTGAACTCTCTGGAATACAACAAAATGCACAGTCAGCCGACTGATGATCCTTGTTAGCCGGCTGACGGGCCTTGGAATACAGCTATGTGCAGTCTTAAACATAAAAAATGCTAGGTTCCTTGCAAGCTAACTTATGAGGAAACCTGATGTGCAAACAAGTTCGAATACACGATAAAAGTATACAGATTATAAACATAAATAGCTTGCCATAAAATACATCATCATACCCCATTCATTACAACATGCTTACATAGTTCTAAATATACAATAAGTGTTGTCATGAAATTATAGTTACATTGCAAAATGAATACGTTCATGAGTTACAGCTTTACAAAAGAATGGGCTAAGATATAAAAGACGACAAAATATAAACTTCTATTCCCCTTTAAGCTTGTGGTGGATTGTCATCTGTCACTTCCTTTCCGAGCCCTAAAAAATGTTAAATGTAATGGGGTGAGCAAATTGTTCAGTAGGTGGTGTCTAAGACACACCTCTTGAGACCCCGTGAACCTAAATAATGAATAGGAATAGAGGATAGAGGATAGAGGTCATACTATACTGGAAATGAGTACAACATTAATTCCAAATTCAAAATAAATAATACCATGCCATGAAATACGATGCCATGTATGTTGCTCCCCATTTTCAAAATCATCCATCACTTCACAAACTGCTAATATAACCCGTCCGTTGGTAACTCCGCAGCGACACGAGAGAAGGATTGGCTACTGTTCCTGACCCTTGGTACCTCCGCGACGTCATTTGTGATCTAGATAGCTCTACTACGCTAGGGTGATTCCTCTAGTTCCCTCTAGGTTACATTAACACTACGGCCCTTTGGTAACTCCGCAGCGACCAGGTTTTTCATAAAATCACTTTAATTAAAACTTTTTCCCAAAATTCATTTTTTTCATTTGTTTCAAATCATTTCCCTTCATTCATACCCCATAATATGCATGTATGTCTCAAGCTTTCATTGTTATGGCAATAAGGGATTTTCATATTACACAAATAAGCATGTTTTACAAGAATTTCTAAGAAAATTACACATGCTTTCATATATCATTTCTAGCAAGTTAACAACACAATAGGCTTAGAAAATCAACACTTAGGCATGTTTTTCATAAAAATCAACAAATACATATAATCATGAACTTTGTAAACCACAATTAAAACATTTTAGGGGTAATTAATACCAATTAAACATGTTAGCAACAATTAACAAGGAAGACTCACAAAGGCACAAGAAAACATGAATTAGAGACCCATACCTCAAGAGTTGCAAAACCCCACAAATTTGTGTCCTAGATTTCAAAATTTCAAAGTGCACCAAATGAGGCTTGACTTCGATCAAATCGTAGATCTCGTCGCGCTCTCAAATTTGTCGCAAATGGCACCCAAAAACTCCAAGTGGTTGGATAAAAATCAAGGATTAAAGATGGTGGAAGAAAAAAAAGAAAAAGAAGGGAGAAAAGAGAGAGATAGCTCTGAGATTGAGAGAGAAAGGTGAGGCCAATAATGGTCTCTTGACCATTTAAAAGAAAAAGAAATGGTGGGCCCCACCAAAAATTAAAATCTTTTCCCTTTTTCTTTTATTCCCACCACAATTATATATATACACAACTACATAAAACCCACATAAAACACATTAAATAAAATGCATGGGATACAAATGTACCGAACTAAAATCCCCATATGCAACAATTCCGGTAGCAGGTCTCACACGGGATCGTCCGGCCCAAAAAACAGAAAAATGCAAAAATGACAAACCTTGCATTTCATAGAGTCCTGAACTCAATGAAATACTGCAACCAACTCTCGGACACAATTGGCACACTCCATGGTGTCCGGTACTCAAAACAACAAAAGACGAAAATACCCTTACAACGACAAAATTCCGGAAAGATGAAAAATAGCGAAAAATGGAAACATCACAATCTCCCCAACTTAAAAGGATTTCATCCCCGAAATCAAGCCGTACCTGGGGAAGAAAACAATGCCGGGTACTTAGAGCGAATATCCTGTTTAAGCTCTCAAGTAGCCTCCTCGACTCCGTAGTGCCTTCAAAAAAACCTTAACCAATGGTATCGTCTTATCCCTTAACACTTTCTGTCGTGTGTCAAGGATCTGAACTGGTCCTTCTTCGTAGGAAACATCCGCATCAATGTCCACATCAACCCAATCCAAAATATGAGATGGATCCAGTTCATACTTCCGTAACATCGACATATGAAAAACATTGTGAACTCTGTCCATCTGCGGTGGCAAAGCAAGTCTGTATGCAACCTTTCCTATACGGTCTAAAATCTCAAACCGTCAATGAATCGTGGTGACAACTTGCCACTCTTCCCGAACTTCATCAAACCCTTCAGTGGAGAAACCTGTAGAAAAATGTGGTCTCCCACTTCAAAAAATAGTGGTCGTCTCTGCCTATCCGCATAGCTCTTTTATTGGCTCTGAGCTATGAGCAACTTCCGTCTAATTAGCTTAATCTTCTTAATAGTATTGAGTACAATGTCGGGTCCTAAGGCGGCAGTCTCGCCTACCTCAGTCCAACAAACTGGAGACCTACAAGGTCTACTATACAATGCCTCAAATGGATCCATCTTAATGCTCGCCTAATAATTGTTATTGTAGGCAAACTTAATAAGTGGAATATGATCCTCCCAACTACCTCCCAAATCAAGCACACATACCCGAAGCATATCTTCCAAGATTCGGATGATACGCTCCGACTAGCCGTCTGTCTGTGGATGAAATGCCATATTAAGGTGTAACAATGAGCCAAATGCTGCTTGAAGTGTTTCCCAGAACTTCGAAGTGAACTTGGCATCCCTATCTGAAACTATGGTTACTGGAACTCTATGCAACCTTACAATCTCCTTCACATATAGCACACCAAGTGCCTCTGCGTTATCTGTTGCCTTAATAAGTAAAAAGTGAATCTTCTTGGTCAATTTGTCAATGATGACCCATAAGACCTCATTTCCCTTTCGTGACATTGGAAGACCTGTCACAAAATTCATAGCGATTTGCTCCCATTTCCACAACGCTATAGGCAATGGTTGCAACAAACCCGTTGGTCTCTGATGCTCGACCTTCACCTGTTGACACGTAAGACATCTAGTCACAAATTGTGTAACATCTTTCTTCATTCCATTCCACTAATACTGGTGTCTCAAATTATGATACATCTTGGTACCACCTGGATAAACTGCAAAGCGGGAGTATGAAACTCCGGTAGAACATCCTCACGACAAACTATAGGAACAACTAACAAATCTCTGAACCGTAGACCTCCATCTGTATGCAATGTCCAATCCTTCATTGTCTCACCACTTGAGATCAAAATGTGAATAGCATCCAAATCGGGATCCTGTCTTTGTGACTCAATCACTCGTCCGACAAGAGTAAGCTGAGCCATAAGACTAAACAAAAATGCCGACTCACTGCCATCATCATCATAGCAACATAATCCCATCTCTGATAAGTCTTCAGGCATTTTTCACTTCCGAATAGCTAAACTAGCCAAAGTCCCACGAGATTTCCGGCTTAAGGCGTCAGCTACTACGTTTGCCTTGCCCGGATAATACTACAAGTCAAAATTATAATCTTCCAAAAATTTAACCCATCGTCTATGTCTGTTGTTTAAGTCCTTTTGGGAAAAAGGTACTTGAGACTCTTATGAAACGAGAATACCTCGAATCTCTCACAATACAAATAGTGTCTCAAACACTTCAAAGCAAATACCACTGCCGCTAATTCCAGATTATGAGTAGGGTAGTTGTACTCATGAGTTTTCAACTGTTGAGACCCATAAGCCACTACTCTACCATCCTGTATCAGCACACATCACAAACCATCATAATAGATCATATAACCCAAGCCACGCTCGGGTATCACTAACACTGGAGCTGTAGTCAATCTTGTCTTCAACTCTTGAAAGAATCACTCACAGGCTTCATTCCACACAAACTTGACTCCCTTCCGGGTTAAATGAGTCATAGGTGCTGCCAAACGGGAAAAATCCTTCACAAATCTATGATAATAACCCGCTAGGCCGAGAAAACTCTGGGTCTCAAAAACATTCTTAGGTTGCTCCCAAGTCAAAACCGCCTCTATCTTTGATGGATCAACCGATACTCCACCTTCCGAAACAACATGCCCCAAAAACTTCACCTCTTGTAGCCAAAACTCACACTTCTCATATTTGGCATACAATCGGTGCTCCCGCAAAATCTATAATACAATACTCAAATGAATCTTGTTCTCTTCCCGGGTCCGTGAATACACAAGAATGTCATCCACGAAAACTACTACAAACTGGTCCAAGTAATTGTGAAAGACACGGTTCATCAAGTCCATGAATGCCGCTGGCACATTAGTCAAGCTAAAAGGTATAACAAAGAACTTATAGTGTCCATACCGTGTACGAAACGCTGTCTTTGGGATATCCTCATCCCTAATCCGCAACTGATAATAGCCCGACCTTAAGTCAATCTTCGAAAAACAACTGGCTCCTCTCAACTGATTAAACAA